CTGAGCTGGCGGCATCCTGCAGTGTGCCATGCTGAACGAGAAGCTGGACTCACTGGTGCGGGAGCTCAGCGAGGAGGCTCAGGCTGTCGTGGTCCCTGAGGGAATTGCGCACGCCACCCCTGCTGACACCAAGGACCAGGAGAAGGGTGGCAGCTTCAACCCCAGCCCGGTGCCGCGCATCTTCAAATCCAAGGAGCAGCTCATGCTGCGGGCAAACAGCCTGAAGAAAGCCCTGCGGCAGATCATCGAGCAGGCGGAGAAAGGTGAGGGGCGGCAAGTGGCTTGCATGGGGCTGCGGAGCCACCCCAGGCTAGTGCCAGACCCCTGCCTTGGTTTCCCCACCTGAACACTTGAGGTGGCAGCAGTGCTGTGCAGTCCAAGGGCATCAACCCTTCTCCAGTGCTTGGCCTGGCCGATGGAAGTCCTCAGCATGGGGCAGAGCCCACAAGGCTGACCCAGGGAGGGTGCATGGGGAGGGCGCACAGGGCTGCCCAGACTCACTGTCATGCCCCTTTTCACATCCAGCTGTGGATGAGCAGAACAAGCAGACCCAGGCCTACCAGGGCAGCATGGGCCCCAGCAAGAACAGTTCAGAGGAACTCAACAAGGAGGAAGAGAGGCTGAGTAAGATGCCAATGGGACATGTGTTTTTTTTTGGGTGGAATGGGGGTGCGCTGTGGGATGGGCTCAGAGTAAGAGCCAGTTCAGCAGCTGCCTTCTCTCCACCTTGGCCAGGCTCCCGGCGGGAGACGGTGACCTCTGCATCTTCCTCTGTCATCCTGGACCGGTCGGACAACTTTGGCAGCTTGCAGTTCCCTGAAGACCCCAGTGTCCTGTGAGTCTGGGGCCATGTCCCACTGGGGACCCTTGCCCACCCTTGCTCCCCACTGTGGGGTGGGAGCAGAGCTGGGACCATGCTGCCTCTTGGATGTGGCCACTGGGACATCCTCTGCCCACAAGTGTAGCACCCCTGGTGCCCAGGCCTCCCTGCCTGGTGCAGGATCTCTTGCTGCTAGCCCCATGGCCAGCACCGTGCTCATGCTGGGAGCTCTGAGCTCTGGGTGCTGGCTTCAGTCAGGCTTCCCAGTGCCAGCCCCTCCAGGAGCTCACACCATAGCTCCAGTGGGTTCATACCCTGTCCCCTGGTGCCAGCCCCACGGGTGTCTGCGATGTGCAGCTGCCACCCAACCCGCTTACCCCATCTGCTGCTTTCAGCCACTTCTCAGAGAAATGTGTCATGAATAACTACTTTGGCATCGGCCTGGATGCCAAGATCTCCCTGGAGTTCAACAACAAACGGGATGAGCACCCCAAGAAGTGCAGGTTGGCTGGATCAGCCCTGGAAAAATATATGCCTCTGGTTCCTGGGTGCCCGCAGCAGGAGGGGCTATTAGGGTGCCAGGAGCCATGGGGCTGGCTCAGGGCTGATGTTGCCTGGCTGGGGACCCCTTCCTGCAGCAGGTTTCCCACCTGCACCCAGCAGGAGGGAGCTCAGCCCCTCCCACTGCCCTGCTTCACCCTGCAGTAGCCGCACCAAGAACATGATGTGGTACGGGGTGCTGGGCACGAAAGAGCTCCTGCAGCGCACCTACAAGAACCTGGAGCAGCGGGTGCAGCTGGAGGTATGGGTCTGGGGCACAGGGAGTGGGTGGGGGGCAGCGGCCCCCCAAGCTCAGCCCTCTCTTGCAGTGCGACGGGGTGCCCATCTCGCTGCCGAGCCTGCAGGGCATCGCGGTGCTCAACATCCCCAGCTATGCAGGGGGCATCAACTTCTGGGGAGGCACTAAGGAGGACAATGTGAGTCCCAGTGCTGTGGAGCTGGGAGAGCGGCATGATGTCCTTCCCATGGACCCAGGGAACCTCAGAGCCCTCAGGCAGGAGCCTAGGATGTCCCTGCCTCAGGCACACACATGGGGGGAAAATCTGGGCCCCAAGATGAGCCCAATCTGGGAGTCTCACTTGTACTGGTCCTCTGCAGAACTTTGGGGCTCCATCCTTTGATGACAGGAAGCTGGAGGTGGTGGCCGTCTTTGGCAGCATCCAGATGGCCGTGTCACGGGTCATCAACCTCCAGCACCATCGCATTGCACAGGTAGGGGCAAGGGTCCCTGCAGGACCTGCATGGTGCTGGACACTTTTGGGGCACCAGCTGAGTTCCTGGCTGGCACTGGCACTGCACCGGGAGGCTGCACAGCAGTTGAAGCCAGTGGGGCAGTGCTGGCTGCGCTGCCAACCCCAGGCTCTCTGCCCCACAGTGCCGTGTGGTGAAGATCACCATCCGGGGGGATGAGGGTGTCCCTGTGCAGGTGGATGGAGAAGCCTGGGTTCAGCCACCTGGCATCATCAAGATCCAGCACAAGAACCGAGCCCAGATGCTGACGCGGGACCGGGTGAGCGCAGCTTGGAGTTGCACAGCCCATGGAGGGGGGCTGCGCTGGGGCACAGGGAGGTGCAACAGGCTGAGTGAGGGGCCATCTCCACCCCTCACAGGCATTTGAAAGCACTCTCAAGTCCTGGGAGGACAAACAGAAGGGGGAGAGTTACCGTGCGGCTGCGCGGCCGCGGCTCAGCTCCCAGCAGTCCATGGAGTACCTGACAGAGGAGGAGAGCAGCCTCTTGCAGCAGGTCTCGCGGGTGGCCGAGACCCTCATTGCCAGGTCCGGCCACGGGACAGGTGATGTGGTGGCCATGGGGCAGGGGACATTTGCTGCGGCGCGGCCACCCACAGCTCCAGGGGTTTGTGTCCTCATGCCATGCTGCCCAGGGAGCCCCAGCAGCTCCAGCCCCTGTCTCCCACAGGATCCATGAGGCAGCCAAGGCTCACAAAGCTGTGGAGCAGGAGCTGGCACATGCTGTCAACATCAGTTCCCTGGCACTGAGCGAGGCCCTCTCCAACAAAACTGTGGGCCCTTCGGAGGTGAGCTGGGGCTAGGGGTGCAGGACAACCTCTGCCCAGCCAGCCCGGGCCCTGCCACTCATGGGGTCACCCCTCCTGGCCCCCAGTTTCTCAGCAGGAACATGGCTGTGGAGGTGGTGCTGAGCATCAAGGAGCTGTACACTGAGACCAGGGCATTCCTGGAGGGGAAGACGGTGAGTGGGGTGCCGGTGAGTGCCCCGAGTCCCCAGTGCAGGAGCCTGCGTCCTGCACTGGTGCCTCTGGAATGGCAGCAGAGCTGGGCACAGTCCCTGTTGCCCGCAGCTGGACTCACCGCAGGAGGAGGAGACACTGCACGGGCCCCTGGGCGTGCTAGGCCAGGAGCTGCAGCGGCTGCTGGACATCCACTGGCTGGGGCCCATCGTCCACCCTGCTGAGGAGGTGGGTGCACAGGGGCCGGGAGAGAGGCGGCCCCAGGGGCTGCAGCACCCCGCTCAGCCTGGCCTCTTGCAGGAGGGTGCCAGCAGCACCAAGGGCAGCTTCAAGCTTCGCCTCAACATTCCCAAGCCCAGGAAGGACAAGGTGCAAAAGCAGAAGACCAACAGCGTGCTCCCAGGTAAAGCACGTGCAGCACATGCTGGTAGGGACCCCTACATGCCATCTCCTTCCTGTCCTGGGCATGCTGTGGAGATACCCTCTGGGAGGGGGACAGGGCATGTCCTGGCTGGCTGGGGATGTCCTTTGTCACCAACAGCCCCATAGACCTTAGTTTTTCTGCTATTGGACATATGGAGCCCCCTGGCCCTGTTACTCCACCACCACTGCAAGGGGGAGAAGGGGCTGTGGAACAGCTCAGCCCTTTGGGTAAGTCTGTGTCCCAGGGCTGGGAGGCTTGTCGAGGGGGAGATGCTGAGATGCTCTGCAGGTAAGCTAAGGAGAGGAGGAACCTCACCAGCTTGAGCTATGGCTGCAGCCCTGCCAGGGTTGGAGGAGGGATACTGGCTGCAGCCTGCCCCACTGCTGCCCTCAGTGCATGCTCTGCTATATCCTGTTGCCTCACCGGGACCCATCCACCTTTGTGGTTTTCCTCCCTGCTAGCAGACAAGTGGGGCTCCGAGGAGGTGGCAGCTTGGCTGGAAGCGCTCGGTTTAGGGGAGTACAGAGACATTTTTATTCGGCATGACATCCAGGGCTCTGAGTTGATCCTGCTGGAGAGGAGAGACCTGAAGGTACAGCCCTTCTCATGCACTGCTTGCTTGGCTGGCATGCAGGGGGTGGGAGGAGGGAAGCAGGCTGGCCCTGGATATCCAGCTTGCAAGGCTCTGAACACCCATACCAGGATCACCAGCACCATGCCTGCTGCTGCACCCAGGCATGGGGACATGCGCGTAAGAGGACAGAAGGCTTCTAGCAAGGACCATGCTCTGGCAGGGAGCATGGGGAGAGCTGGGCATTGCAACCTTGTCCTCCACACTGCAGCTTGCCCATGGCAAGGGCTGGTCCCCTATGAGCACATCAACAGCCCTCTCTCCTCCCTGCAGGACCTAGGCATCACCAAAGTGGGCCACATGAAGAGAATCCTCCAGGCCATTAAGGAGCTCAGCAACCCACCCTAGGCCATGCCGTGTGCTGCCCCTAGGGACCAGGGGTCGGGCAGGGGGGTGCAAGGTCCCTGCTGTGCGCCGTGCGGTTGGAGCACCCCTGCTTGCCTTGCTTTGCTTGTTCATCCCCCAGTGTCCCTGAAACTGCTGCTTCTCCGCAAGCCGGTGGGGCTGGAAACACTGAAACTAAGGTCTAACCCCCCATCCAGGCCCTGGCAGCATCACTAGAGGAGCTGGGGCTGCCACGTGTGCCCAAGCTGGGGCCAAAGCAGAGATTCCCCTTCCCCATGTGGGTATTTAAGCTGTGTAAATATGTGGAGAAGAGACACTCGTTGCTGCTGCTCATGTAGTCTCATTACTGAGGGGAAGGCAGGGGGGTGGGGGTGAAGACCCTTCCATCCTTCACCCCTCAACTTCCTGCTCCACATCATGCAACAAGCCCCCAGCCCCTGCCCCAGCCCGGCAAGGGGAACTGCAGCGTACTCGCCTTCATCCCTGCCCCTGTCCCAAAACCAACCAGCCCATAAGACAAACCCAGTATTTTATTCACAGCTACATGACTTTTCTTTTCTAATCCCACTCCCTCCCATTTACTTAAAATTGTTCTTTATGTACATGGTGCTCCTTCACCAGAGAGCGCCCAGCTATTTACAGGCTATGTACAGAGACAGGGCTAGCAGTTCTTCAGTATCTCCTCCAGCTTGAGCATGTCCATGGGGGTGACCTTGGCAACCTCAAAGAAGACCCTGGAAGGATGCATGTTGGTTCAGACCTCAGCTACAGCCCCACCCATCAGGGCCCCACAGTTCTCTGCAGCACACAAAGGCATGGGGTTGTGGTGGTGCCACCCTGCACAGAGAGGGCAGAGCCCTGCGATGCTCACCTGTGTGAGTACTTGGTGCGCACAGCCTTCAGCTTGTCCCGCGGCTGGTATGTGAGCAGGAAATTCAGTCTCTTGACCAGAGGGTGCAGGTCCTGGGAGCGGTACCCACTGTAGTACTCCAGTGTGGGGGTCTGCAAAGTGACAACAGGGCTGGGTACTCTCCGTGAGAGCATAGCCATGATCTTCCCTCTCCAGCCCCCCAAACCTGAGCGTAGTCCTGGAGCATCACCCCCGCACACTGCTCCATCCACTCCCGCACCCCACAGTGCCTCCCCGGGCACCTTGGCAGAGCATGGGTCTGGGTGGGCACTTACCCAGCCACCGAGATTCTTCATGGTGAGCGCCAGCAGCAGGCAGCTGGCAGCCAGCTTTGAGGGGCTCTCACGGGCATAGTCGTACTCCTGCAGGGTCATCTCACAGAGGAAGCGGGCCAGTGTCAGCGTCTCCATGGTGGCACGGGCACACTGCGGCCAGGCAGGCATGCAGGGAAAGGCTCAGCCTCTACAACAATGATGCTTCCTCCCCCTTCTCACCCTTTTCAGGATCTAGTGTTGCCTCTGGGGTACAGGACACAGATTCCACACCCCACCAGCAGCCTCACACCTGGCCCAACCCTTCCTTGTTGTGAGCCCTGGGCCTCAGGGATGCATGTCACCCCCTGGGAAGCCAGCATATGGGGTGTCTGGAGGCACTGTGAAACCAGCCCACCCTCCTGCTACACCCACCTTGGCAAAGCGTCGCAGGAAGCGGTAGGGGATGGGGATGTTGATGTCGAACTTGAGGGTGCTGAGGATGCTCATCTCCATAGCAATGAGCTCTTCCCGCTTGTAGGCATCGTCGCAGATGTAGAGGAAGTCATCCACACATGGTGGGCACCGCTCCTGGTGAGGCACAACCACTTAACACCATGACAGGGCTCACCCTGGCACTACGCAGGAAATCCTACCAGTCTGCAGGCCCTGTAAGGGCTCATGCCCTGCCAGACCCTAAAGGACTGTTACAACACCCAGTGGGGCTTGTGTGTCACCTGCACTGCCCCAGCCTGTGGCAGTGACTCAAAGCCTTGCTTGCCTGAGGGGAGCTTGGATGTCCTGGTAGTCTCTCCGGAGCAGAGAGAAGCCAGGTCTCCAGTGACACCAGGAGACAGGATCCAGCCCATGAGGACTGCATTCACAGCCCTTTGGCACAGGAAGGGTCAACACAAGGACAGGCATGCCACCCCAAGCTGCTCCCAGGGGAATGGCCTGGCACCACAGGGACCTGGCCTTCTTCAATGACCTGTGGGGATGAGGGAGGCACAGCACCCACTCCACCCCAAAACAGCACATGAGGAGTCACCTCAAATTTGGAGGCAATGAGGATGGCAGTGGAGCCAATGAGCTGCAGCTTGTCCCTCATGCTCACCACCTCCACCAGGTAGTGGTCCACCAGCTTCACAGCCAGATACAGCGTCTCATGATTCAGCTCAAAGTTCTCCTGCAGAGAAGGGGGAAGGAGGGAGGTGTCAGGCAGAAGCCAGAACCACCTGCCCCCCCCCTCCCCATTCCAGGGGCCAGAGGTGCCCATGGGGCTAGGCTCACCCCCAGCCTGGGGAAGGGCAAGGTCAGCTCTGAACTGGGGACACCCACAGGAGCCTCTGCCACCACACTGTGATGCCCCCCCCCCCCCACCAAAACCAGGTTGGGATAAACCTGCAGAAGGCCATGCCCCCTCCCCATGCCCTGGTACTTACCTGCACCTCCACCATCCAGTCCACCAGGATGGCACGCATGTCCCCGCTGATGTCTGGCTGCTTGTCCATGTAGTCAGGGAGTATAAACTTCTCCTGCCAAGGTACTGGCTGTCAGGGACTCACCAGGCACCAGCACCCTCAAGCAAACCCCCTCCTGTCCCATGCAGACCCCCACCAGAGCCTCCAGGCAGCAGGCAGACCTGCTCACACCAGTGCACTCCCTAGACAGGCATCACCCACCTCTCTTCCCCGCATGTACTCAAAGATGTCTTTGGCGTACTCGGCATTGGCATAGGGGTCACCCAGCTGCTCCTTGTCAATGTCCTCCACAGCAGGCACCTGGTGTGACAGAGCCAGCGGTCGGGGGATAACCCTGAGCCCTGTGTGTGCTTCAGGACAAGGCTGAAGTACCTCTGGCCCCCATTTCCCATCTGCCCCCATCACGCTGCAGCCCCACCCTACTCTTTTCCGTAGAAGGTCTTTTGAAGACAGAAGGTTTGGGGGCTTACCCCAAACCCTCCCCAGCTTCACATCACACTGCCCAAGTGTCTGAGGTACAAAGCACTGCACAGTGCCCTGACATCACCAGTGGTAGCCTAAGACCAGCACCATCAGAATGGGACTGGGGCCATGCTGCAGCCCAGGGTCCATACCCTCTCCTTGGAGGGATCCAGTACCTGAGCAGGCACTGGCTCCTCTGGCACAGGATCCTCCTTGGGTTCTGCAGGAGCCTCTACTGGGGGACTTTTCTTCATTGACCTGAACAGGACAAGAACGTGCATCATTGCTGGGAGGAGGTCAGATCTCCTGCCTGATTCTCCAGAGCCCCTTGCTGCCTGAGGAAGGGTCTAAACCACCCCTAGAATATCCCCATATTGACTCTTAGAATCATTTAGGTTGGAAAAGACTTTTAATGTCATCCAGTCCAACTGCAAACCTAATGCTGCCAAGTTCACAGCTAAACTTGCTGTTCATGCAAGTTTAATGCCCCCAAGTGCTGTTTACGCAAGTTTAATGCCCTCAAGTACCACATCCATGTGACTTCTAAACACCTCCAGGGATGGTCAAACAACTGCTTCCCTGGACAGCCCATTCCAGTGTTTGACAAGCCTTTTGGTAAGGAAATATTTCCTAGTATCCAACCTAAACCTGCTCTGGCATAACTTTGGGCTGTTTTACCTATTGTCTGCCCTCCCCATCTGGTTCATGGTCTCCCCTGCCCAAAGGAAGTCCCCACCACAGCTTGCTCTTCCCCGTGGGAGAGATCCCCTGGTCCTAGTCCCCATCTCCTCTGGTTACTCACTTTTTCAGGTTGATCTCGTTGTTCTTGGCCACCCCCAGAGCAGCATGGGCTCTCTGTGCCTTGTTTGGTGCCACTTTCACGGCCTCCTTCTTCCCTGCCACCACCTGGTTCTTGTGAGACTGTTTGGGTGAGAATGGGGGCATAGAGAGGAGTGCCTTGCAGGAAGACCTGTCCTCCCACAGACAGGACATGGGGCACCCCCAAGTCTGTGCTGGAGTGGATACACAGCCCTGCTCCCTTGGAGGGCTCAAAGGGGGTACCAAATCAGAAGCACTTACATTGGTGATATCCCCGAATGCCGACCTCTTCTTGGGTGCACCCTGGGGTGAGGATGGAGACCTCTTGGCCTGACAGCTCTCCTCCTGCAATAGAAGCTGTTTGAAATGGCAGCCTGCTGCCCCATAGGAGACTCCCACATCCCTCACATGGCTCAGGACTCACCTTTTCAGGGTTAGCATTCTCTGCAGCAGGACCCATCTTGCCTGCTCGGGGCTGCTTGGTGATCACCATCTTGGCATTGCGTGTCAACGGCATCCTCTCCTTCAGTCTCTACAAACAAGCTGGGAGTGGAGCAGGACTTGATGCAGGCAGCTGCCCAGAGACACCCTCACAGGCCACAGCACTTGTCCCTCCTTGGGGTAGGGCAGCAGGGACAAGCACCAACACCCTCCCCAAGCATGGCAGGAGATGTTCTGGGGGTGCAGGGAAGGGCTGGTGTGCTCCTCCCAGGGGAAAACAGGACACGATAGACATGGAGCCCCATGACCCCTGTCAACAGCACCCTGCTGGGAGCAGGGCTGATGTGTGAGAGACAGTGCACAGCCCCCTGCATCCCAGAGAGGGATGCACGAGCTCCCACCGCTTCACACCCCACCCCAAACACAGGGTGGGTAAGTGAGCTTAGGACAACCTCCACACTCCAAAGGAGCAGAAGCCCCCAGGACAGGGATTCCCACCGCTGTCCTCCCCCAGGGAGCTGGGGAACGGGCCTACAGGGGGATACCGAGCCCATAGCGAGCAGCGGTCCGGCACCCTCGAAGGAGGAAGGAGCTCAGCATCCACCCCCAAGAGCAGGTCGCACTGCCCTGCGGCCCAGGATCCCGTAGAGAGCCGGAGACCCCCTCCCCTGCAGCTCCCGAAGGGTCGTGGGTCCTAGAAGCCGCCCTCCCCGGCACCCGAGGAGCCCAGACCCCGCGGCCCCACCGCACTCACCCGCACCCAGCTCCACGCCGCAGCCGGCCCCGGCTCTTTTGAAAGTAGCAGTTCGGCAGCCGCAGGCCAGCACTGGCCGAGGGTCCTCCAATCAGAGTGCGGGGCGGAGCCACGCGGGTGCCAATCGGCGAGCAGGTAGGGATGCGGTTGCTAAGGGGCAGGACGGCAGGGTTTAAAATTCAGCCCCGGCAACCAATAGAAGCGCGAGCTGACAGCGGGGCGGGCCGCCCGTCCCCGAGGCGGGCGGTGATTGGTGAGGACGCGTTGCCGTTTAAATGGGTGCCGCGGGGTCGCTAGGCAGGGTGTCATGGTGGTTCTTGGGCTGAGGTTGGGCCGTGGTGGTGCGGCCGCTGTTCCATCACCCCCTGTGGGATCCGGCTCACCGGGGAGCATCCCCCGCTCGGGTGGAACGACCTCCGCAGGCATCTGGGCCCAGTGCTTCTGTAGCGGGCTCGACCCCTGCCCGCAGCCGGGCCTGCCTTCCTGCTCGGGGCTGGGCTCTCTGGCTGGGGGAACGGGGCACCCTGGGCTGGCCGTGCAGCTCCTGTGAGCCGGTGTTGTGAATGTGTGGTTCGGTTCGCTTGGAGAACACGGTCAAAGGCATCGGCAGAGCCGTCTTAACACGATGCCGGGAGAAGGTGGTTTGTTGGGTGCAAGGTTCGCTGTTACCGCACTGCAGGATCACTTGAACACCGTTCAAACCTACCGAGGCACAAACCAGAGCTGCCTCACTAAGAGGTTAAACAGCGCACCCGCCGCTTATCAAAGACCTGCTGCTCGTGAAAGGAGGAGGAGCCATGAGGGTGTCCCAGGCCGAGGGCAGATCCATCACGCCCAGCCGGGCAGGGATGGCAGCAGCAGTCACCAGTTCATCCCCGCTGGTTGAGCTCTGAGGGCTGCAACACGCTGCTGTGCGTGCAGCCTGAAGCGGGGCATAAGGGGGTGCTGCTTAATATGTTGGCCAGGGAGAGAGCTCCTTTTCCCCCCAAAACCCTTGGCAGATTCCCTGCAAAACTTTCCAGATCCAAATTTAATCCAAATCCTTTGGGATAATCCTACACTCCTTTCTCCCCGCAGACAGGGCGATATACAAGCAGCTCTGCCACATCTCTAGCAGAAAGACCTGGGGCTGCTGATGGCCAGGAGCAGCAGAATGTTTTTTGGGTGCTCAAAGGGCTGGTGGGGGCGTTAAACCTGGTTTAGTTGTCCTGGGTTCAGCAGTAGCAGTCATTTTTTTTCTCCTCCTTGGTAGCTGGTGCAGGACTGTGTTTTTGACTTTCGGCCTGGGAATGGTGCTGATAGCACCGATGTTTTCAGTTACTGCTCAAATGTTTGGTCTGGCCAAGGACTTCCTGAGCCTCATGCTCTGCCAGGGAGGAGGGGAAGCCGGGAGGAAGCAGAGACAGGACACCTGACCCAAACTGACCAAAGAGGTATTCCATACCACAGCCCGTCATGCCCAGGATGTAACTGAGTTACCTGGAAGGGCTAGGGCACTGCGGGGTTGGAGGAGGTATCGGTTGGTGCTTGGTTGGGCTGGGGGGGCAAGTTATCGGTTGGCTGGTGGTGAGATGTTGTATTCTCTTCCCTTGTTATTTCCTTTATCGTTATTATTAGTGGCAGCAGTAGTGATTTGTGTTATACCTTAGTTACTAAACTGTTATCTCAACCCGTGGGAGTTGCGTTCTTTTGATTCTCCTTCCCATCCCTCCAGGAGCAGGGGGAAGCCAAAAAGGTGGGGGGGGGGGGGAGTAAGAGAGTGACTGTGTGATTTATGGCTGACTTTGTTTAAACCACGACAAGTCCACATATCTCGGGTGCCGTCAGTACCCAGAAAGGGTCAGGGCTGCTGTAGCTCCAGCCCATCCCATTTCCCCCTCATCCACTTGTCCTCTCAAGCCCCAGCTCCAGTGGTGCAGCCGCTGCTGTCCCTGGCCTGGGAGCTCCCTGAAATTTGCTCACTGCTGGTCTGGAATCCTTGTGGGATCCAGCTGTCTGCCTCTCCTTGTGCATGTTGGAGCAGTACGTCCTCCAGTCAAAAATATGCATCAGGTTCATACTTGCCAGGCAGAGCTGAGACACATCCCACTGCTGATGGAAACAGTGCATTGGCCTGTGGGATAAGATCTTCAGCCAGAAAACCTCCATCCAGGTTTGCCTGTGGCTCTGCGGGGGCTTTGGCAAGCTGCCTGCTTTGGGGCGGGTCCACGTCTGCCCATCCTGTCCAGGCTTGGCATGGGAAGCTGGATTTTCCAGTCCCCACAATACTGCAGGTCCTCAGAAGGCTCCCACTTGTGGGAGCTGCAGCTCACACCTCATGTGCCACAGGGGTACTGGAGAAAAGATGGGGGAGCAAGAACTGGACCCTGCAAGGCAAACCCCTGGGCAAACCCTCCAAGCACAGAGGCAAATCTGTGGTCTCAGTCCTGCCTGTCATCTAAGGATGCTGGAGGCCAGTTTGATGCCAGAGCCACCTAGACTCCCCTTGGGCTCTGGCATTACTCAGCAAACCCCCACATCAGGCAGGATACAAGTCCTTGCCCCCCCTCACTGGAGCAGGAGCACGAGGCTGCTGCATAGCCACAGTGCTCAGCTCTGCACCAGGAGAGCATCCACTGCTGAACACAGTGCAGCTCCAGTGCCCCCCCGCTCCCAGAGACCACCTGCACCAGCTGGACTAAGGGGTGCACTGACGTCTCCCCCAGCCCTCTCTTGCTGTGCCCAGCCCAAGCACTTCATGTGCAGTGGTGGATGGAGAAACAGACCCCGCAGTGCACCAGCTCAAGACCATTGGTGCTTGGAGTGTCCCTGCTGGCTGGCATCTTGGTCGCTGCTTCCATGCATCCCCTTCCTGCAGCACCACAGAGCCTGTGCTGCCTGTTGGAGCTGGAGCAGCCCCCAGGCTGTGGAACTGAAAAGCCCCTATGCACAGCATCTGGGGATGCTTGCTCCGTGATTGCTCACCAAACAGAGAGGCTCAGGCTCAAGAGGAGTGAGGGCAGGGAATCATCATTCATAGGATCCATATGAACCGTTTTCCCCCCCTTTCCCTTCCTCAGGCTAAACCCTTATCCTTTCCCATGCTAAAACAGGCTCAACTTGTTGCTCCTTATGGCCCAGTGCCAGAAACACAGGCAGGAGGCCAGGAGATCCACAGGGAAGGCCGAGGTTTGCCACTTCCTTTTCTCTCCATATACACCACTAATGGCAGGGGTCAGGGAGACATTGCCATACAAGCCCTTGTGTTTATTTACTGGAAAAAGCACCAGTGAGTTACCTCCAGGGCTCCCTTGCCAGTGGAGGAAGCACAAAGGAAAGCCAGGGGTAGAGCACCAGCCCTGTGCTGAGCTTCCTGGGGGAACTGGGGCCGCAAGGCCCGTGGCATGGGAGGGCTGTGCCAGGTGATGCTTTCCCACCAGCTCTGCCTGCGCCCTCCCTGCATCCCTGCTGTCAGCATGCAGCCCAAGCACTGTGGGGTGTTGGCAGCATCAGGGGTGGAAGAAGCAACATCCAAGAAGAAACAGGAGTAAACAGCCTGGGAAGGCTCAGGGCAGCCTTGGCTGAGCATGGGTAAGTACTAAAGCCAGCCAGCATGAGCCAGGAACAGGGAGGTTATCTTAGGATTAGTGCCGTGTTTGCAGCAAAGCAGCCGGCGGTCCCTGGGGCCACCCTGCAGCCCCTCAGCACACCCAGGGACTACCTCTTACCACCCCTGGGTTAGAGTTTTCCAGGCTGGTGGAGCAGTGAATTGATGGCCACACCGGGGCCGCTTGTGGGCCTGCTGCCACTCACCCTGAGGAGCACAAACTCCATCTCTCCCATGTTTGGTCCCACTCAGCCTCCACCCCCACATTGCTCTCCCTTCATTTTCTTCCAGTTCTCATTTGGTGGCCGATTTGATCTTGTGGATGGCATATGGGCTTGACTCCTTCGGCATCCAGATCTCCTCCCCGCCACAGCCCTGGTGTTCCACCGCTCCTTCCATGGCTGCCGTCAGCTCAGGGCTGAAGATGCTGTCGGTGGCACGGTAGGTGCGGGTGAGGCGGCGGAAGGAGGAGTCCGAAGAGCTGTCATCGGGAAGGTCTTCATCCTGCTCATCCTGAAGCTTGGTCCTGCCCAGCTCTGAGCTGCTTCCCAGCTCTGGGTCTCTGAGAGCCTCCCCCACCTCCTGGAGGAAGGTGGTTTTGGGGCTGACAATGCACAGCAGGAGCATGAGGCCTCCGGAGACCCCACAAAGAAAGTAAAGACCAACTTTCTCTGGGACGCCTGGGGGGTGAAGAGCAAAGAGAGACACCAGGGTACATACTGCCTCTGAGGCCTGCAGGTACCAGTGCCTGGGAACCCCCCACTGCTGGGCGTATGTAAGAGGAAGAGAGTAGGGTTGCCCTCTGTAGCCAGGGCTGATTGCCCCAGTGAAAATGGGAGCCTCACCCAACATCAGCACCCACCAGTGTCCTGAAATGCCCCTTTCTCCATATGAAACCCCCATTGGGATGCAGGGTAGGGAGAACAGGTGGAGGAATCGTCTTGCCAGGGACTTAAATAAGCTATTTCCCCTGGCAAGGGAAACTTTTGCCTGCAGAGCAGTGTTCTCCATCAGTGCCCCCACAGACAGGGCAGGAAGGAAGGAGACCCAGCTAATGCCAGTCAGAGAAGGAAGGTCTGCGGGCATGATCACAGCAGCACTGCAACCATGGATGCTGCAGGACCCTGGGGCTCATTCCTCTTCTGAGCTCCTGTTCTTGTGCTCCCAGACCAGCATGGGTGCTCAAGCCAGGGCTGAGTGGGGGCCACCATGGGGCCTGAGCCACCCTCCCAAGCCTGTCCCGCTCCCCCAGGTGCTGCATGAGAACCGGGGAGTGCACGTACCCCAGAGGTGGGCAAAAGCTGCCAGAGTGCTAGTAAAAATCATCCGGTCTTCCCGGAGCCTGGAGAACCTGGGCCCTTTGTACCAGCCACCTGTAGTGGACAAGGGGATGTGAGCTGAGGCACAGGGTACTCCCCAGCGCCCTGCTGCCTACTGCCTGCCCTCATCCCCATGCCACTCTCCTTCCTTCCTGCACAAGTGCTTCTCTGCCTGCAGGATGCTCCTGCTGGGTCCCCTTCTTCTCAGCTCCGAGTGACCACATCCCTCCAGCTGCTTAGATGTGGGCACTGACTGATTGGCATTAGCCATGGGACAGTGATGCTGGGGTAGAGCTGTGGGATGTGTGCCAGTGGTGGGCACCATAGGTACAGACAGGCCAAGGAAGGCCTGGTTCACCCAGGTGTGAACACGTGGCTGTTGACATAGCCTCCCCCTCATGATACCGTGCATGTAGTCCGAGAGCAGGAAGGGGTCCGAGGTGTCAGGGCCCACCTCCTCCAGCAGCTGCTTGGGCACTGCAATGAGAGCACACACGGAGCATCACCACCCAGCAGCCGCCTGCATGCCCGGCAGCCCCACACCTTGCCTGTGTGGCACGGGGCTGCATAACAGGGGCTCCCCTGTGGCCCCGGCCCCGTGGTGACTCTCACCGCAGGTGTAGGACACTCGTAGCTGTTTCTTTGTGCCAGGGAGGCATGGATCCCCGAAAGTGGCCTGGTCAGCAGCCACTGTGCAGTTCCCCCTGCGGTGGCACTTCCTGGAGACCCTCCGCAGGGCATCCGGAGCCAAGCACTCTGCAAAGACATGGGGCATGGACCCGTGGGCAGACCTGCCTGCCCCTGCCTGTGGGGCACTGAGAGGCACAGGGGCAGCCCGATGCCATACTTGTGCCATGCTCTCTGCCCAGCTTCTGTCCCTGTTTCTCTGGCTTGACCCATTCTGGCGTACCTATATGGGGCCCCACAGTGTTCAGGGCATCACACTCTGGTTTCCCCCGCAGGAATCGTCCATAATTGGCAGAATAAATGGCCAGCACGGATTTTGGTCGGCACTGCAGCCTCAGCTTGTCATTTTCACACACAGTTTTGACCCGATGGTTCCCTGGGGTGTGACATTGTGGAGTGCCCCATCACATCCCAAGCCGCAGTGCTGCAGGAGGGCCGCAAGGCGCAGGAGCATCTCAGCTCCGCTCTCTGCCCTTCCCAAGCAGCTGAGGCTGGGGAGAGGCCCTGACAGCATTGCCCAGATCCCACTCCACCTTACCTGGCCGGCATTTGTAGGAAACAATGAGGTACTTGTGTGTGTCTGGGCACGGGTCTGGCCCAAAGACTTGGCTGTGCACTGAGAACTGGCACCACTGCTGGTCCTGACACTCAGCCAGCAGCTTCTGGAGAGCAAAGTGGAACAGACAAGGAGGTGGGTGAGGAGTTCTGAGGCTGTGCTCACCACCTCGGTGCCACCACCAGACTCAGACAAAAAGCTTCTCCCCTCGCAGAGGTGTCCCACGTCTGCTCCCACCCCAAGCCCCCCCCCCCCCCGTGTTGGCTCCTGAACCAGCCCTCTGCACTCACACAGAGCTTCGTGCCAGCACAGTCAGTGTGCACCGTAACGCAGCCCTGTGCAACACCCATGCACCCAGATGCGGCTCTGTGTAAAGCACACGTGCAGCCAACAGACCTCTCAGGCACTGGGTGCCCTTTGCTGCTGCCCACCCAATAGCTTTGGGTTCGGGCAGCCCGCAGGGCTGTTGTCCCAGCCCCCCGCATCCCCCTGAGAAGTGGATTGCCCTACAGCTGGGATCCCACCACCTGCGGTGATGGCGCCCCTGTCTGTCTCTTTGGTCTCCAGACATCTCTGCTGGGTCACATCCCCCATCCTGTGCTTGACACGTAAGCTTGGGAGACCCTGCAGCATGATTTGTGGGGCCGGCATGGTCCAGCTCTGCCCTTGCAGAGCTCCTGGGATATGCAGGATACCAGGAGGGGATCTGCAGCTGGAGCAGGACAGGGCAGCAAAGCTTCACGAGCTCCTGGAGCAGGGAACTGGCCCCTCAGCTCTTGCTCCTCGTCTCAAACTCCACGTTCCCCTTCCCCACGGGCACCTGCATGCAGCTGCAGTTTCGCAGGTCCCAGCTCCTCAAGGAGCTGTAACCCCAATAGAAAAGCAGCACGTGACACCATCTCCCCATCGAGGGACTCTCCTGCTGCCCCCTCCCTGTGTCCTGCCTGCCTTTCCTTCCTGTGCCAGCTACTGCCACCCACAGGCTCTCCTTTGGGCCTCCCTCATGAACCTGCTTCCCGGGGGCTGCCTGAAGGACAAGTGCTTCTCCTGGCCCAGGAAGAGGGGCTCTGCGCTGAGCCCTCCTGGGCCTGTCCCGCGTCAACTGCCAGGACCCACCCCAGCTGCCAGGGCTGCATCCTGCTGCATCCTGCGGGATTACTCGAGAATCACAGTTCAGGACGGAGCAGCGCCTCCTGCCTGCCCAGCGACCCACTGCAGAAGGCCATATCCACCCTCATCTCCCCAAAACCCTCCCAGGAAGGGATCCCACGGGTGAATCGCGATGCCGATGGTAGCAGCCTCCCTTGCGGTACAGCCGCCCAGCCAAAGCAGGCAGCCCAGTGACCCAGGGAAGGAGCTGGGTGGGTCCTGGTCCCCGAGACCTTGCCCTTACCAGGTGGGCTGTGGTGGACATGCATTCAGTGCTCTCCTGGGAGTCATTGCCAGGGCTGGGGCAGAGGTTGGGGCTGGGCACGCGACGCCCGTAGAAGGCTCCGAGGATGCTGATGGTGGTCCTGTGAGGGCAGACGATGAGGAGCTGCTCCCCATCACATGTGTGCGTGGTGTGGTTCCTCAGTACCTTGCGCAGGTACCCTGGGTGGGGAGAGAGCACGGTGGCATTGGCCGGGGGGATGCTGGAGCACAGCGGTGGTGGTGCTGAGCTCCTGGCAGCTGGTGGCAGTGAGGACAACCTGGGCTGGGCACGTACAGGGCAAACAGGAGCAGGGTGGACTCACAGCAAATCTCACATCCAGCATTGCAGCCAAGGGGCTAGGGAGCAGTATGGAGCAGCTGAGCTGGTTAGCAAAGGGAAGTGAAAGCTGGAGGCCGAATGACAGGTCAGGAAAAATAAGAACAGAATCCCATGAAGGTTCAAAGGTTTAGAGAAAATCAAGTTAGATGTGGAGACACAGGGAAGACTGAGCAAGGATGAGCCAGAGATGATCACCCAGAGATTATTGCCAGAGCGGGGAGAGGAGGATGCTATGTGACAAGATGTCAAGCCGTGGGCTGGAGAAAGGAAGGGTCCAGCGGCCTCTGCGAGCTCCCACAGTTGTCTGCGTTGGTGTGAATGGGTGTGAGCCACCAAGTCATTCTCTGAGCCCAGCTGACCCCATCTCTGCCAGAGAAGCCCAGTGCATTGGTGCAAGCCTTTCCAATGGGAACTGGCCTCTTCTCTCCCTGAATTCTCCCTTCTAATCCTGCCTAGGTTGTGTCACAGACCCCAGTCCTCAGCTGTGGAGTCCTTGGAGGGACTCACATCCCAGTCCTATGCGAGGGTCCAGGGCAGGACACGCACCCCGACCCTATCCTGCGCTGTGTCAAACTCCCCCAGACCAACACAAGGAGGTGGGAGCTCCAGCATCCAGCCCCATGCTTCTCCTGCTGTCCCTCTGCAAACCAGTGCCAGGCCCAGCTGCACAAAGGGCCCCTTTCACCTCCCTTGCTGCCATGAACCCTCTGTCCCCTGCTGCTGGCATCACGCCCCAGAGGCAGCCAGGGATGCAGCTGGGAGCTGCTGGGAGTTAATCGGGGTTAATCTTTCTCCTTGCAAGTGTAGGATGAGCAAGAGGAAGGGCTGCAGCCCTGAGCAGACGAGCCCTTGCCTTCTCCTCTGAGTGCTGGAGGAGAGAGGAGAGGCAGAGGAGGGTGGATGGGAGTAGACATGCTGTCTTAGCCATATCAGAGCTCCAGTGAGATGCAAAGGTGCTCCATGGAGGGCACATCAGAGCTGGATCAGACCCTTGGGGTGCAGTGCCCACATGAAGAGGGCAGGACAAACCCTGTCCTGTACCTCTCCTCTTGTCACTCCACATCACGGGGTGCTGTGGGCCTCGAGGCACAGGGGTCTCTGCCCAGGACCCTGCCGGCCCCATCTCCTTCCCCTGCACTCATGGAAGCAGCAGGTCCACTCTTGCTGCAGCATCCAGGCTCTTGTGCAGGCTCTGGAGGCACTCGGCTTCTGCCTGGCACCATCTCCAGGCTGACCTTCCCATCACTGAGGCAGCTGGTGCCCGGGTAGTTGGGGCACGATGGGCTGAGGGACATGGGCAAGGAACAGGGGAGAAATGGGTTTCCCCAAGTCCAGCCTGCCCTGCAGCAGCCTCCTCTGCTGCTCCATCACAACACTTTGGGGCAGCGAGCACTTGTGAAGATTTTTTCTGAGTGAAGCCATGGTGAGGAGGCTGCAGGCAGAATGTGAGTGCATCCAGCATGACTGACTCAGTCCCTGCCGGTGCGGCTGTGCCGTCAGCTCTGCCCGGATGAAATCACATCATCCTCCTCCTCCTTCTCCTCCTCCTCCTCCGTCTCCTCAGTGCCTGTGCTGCCGCTCAGTGGTTCCATGATGGATACCTGGGGGTGAAGTGATGCGGGGCTTGTTTGTGCCTGCACCCTCCTCACTATTCCAAGTGCTGTGGCACAAGAGATCCCAAACTTCCACCTTGGCTACCAGTGCTGCCCTTGGGAGAAGGTCTGGCCGTGCCCTGGGGCAGTGCACCTTGCAGCCCCCTCCTCATGAGCGGCTCTGGATGGGGACCACAGTCACCAGTTCCAGCCAGGAACTGGGTAGAGCTTCGGCCCATCTCTGCCCTCGATTTTTCAGAGCAGCAAAGGCTTGCAGAGAAGCCCTGGGTACTCCAGGAGTCTTCAGCTTCACACACCACCCAAGACCATGAGTATCATGTCTGTGCATGGGGGGCTCAGGAAAACTGGGGTCTGCCTTAAGATTTGGTGTTTTGCATTTCTGCCTCCAAATTGTCCAATGGAGCACAGCAGCAGCAACGCAGGAAACGGCCCCCTCACTCACACCAGGGCTGTGGGGCATGTACAGGGTGGTTTTAGACCCAGCCCTGCTGTGGTGAGGATGCAAAACCCCAATTTCTTTTTGGCAAACTTCCTCTGGCCTTCACCGGTTGGCGCCTCACTTGTTGTCCTGAGCCCCCCAAATCTGCTGTTGCCTCACCCACCCCTTGCACCGTCCCCAGCATCCCTCACAACCCTGCCTATGCCCCGACTCACCAGAGAGCTCCGGGCTGGCCTCCAGCCCCACGGCCAGGCAGAGGAGGACCAGGGCTGCTGCTGTCCCTACCAGCCCGGCCATGGCACGAGTGCTGCTGGCTGCAACGTGGTCACAGTGGCGGCTGGCGCCAGGCAGGCAGCATGGGGACAATGGCTCGTTTCTGTGCCCTGCCCAGGCAGGGCCCCTGAGCCCGCTCTGTGTGCGCTGCCAGTGCAAGGGGCTGCTCTGGTCAGCTGGGGCACGCTCAGCACAGGGACACCCCCCCCCGCGGGGAGGGACGGAGGGACGTGTTCCCAGAGGCGCAAGTGGTTCTGTGCCTTGGCACCACTGTCGCTGGCAGCCAGCAGCCCCTTTCCCACACGCCTTTGTTCACCACAGGGGCTTCCAACTTGCCTCCTGCTTTTGCACTGGCACGGTGAGGCAGAAGTCCGGATGCATGTGTGTTGTAATCTCCATTTTGGCCTTCTGAGGAGGAAGGGAAGGGCTGCCGGAGTGCCTCCTTTGTGGAAAGGGCAAACACCCTCCCTGCAAAACCCACTGCGGGCCGGGGCCTCTTTGCTACTGCTCTTCTGCCCCTGCAGCCTCGGCAGGGCTGTATACCGGGCACTTCGACATCCCAGAGGAGGGCACCGGGCAGTGCCCCGCAGCACAGCAGTTCAGTTAAACCCCTGCCTGCTGCCTCAGCTGGTGGCTCGGGGGAATGCATCCGGCTGAGGTCAGCCTCAAGCAGCAGCCGGCAGTGCCAGGAGCCGGCGCGCTCCAGCAGGCTCAGCACCCCTCGGGCTGGGGCAGCAGCAGGGACCAGCACACATCATCCAGGGGTCCATAGCAGGGTGCAGGCAGTAGGATGGGTCCTAGGGGTGCTGCCGTGGCCGCACTTGACGCTCACAGTGTCATTAATTCACCCCTCTCGCTTACTGGGCAGTTTCCTGACCCATCAGGCGCAGTGTCAAGTCCTCCAAATGCTTTGATGGGGCAGAGAGAAAAATGCCTCCCAGTTCCCCACTCCCCGCACAGCCCATGGTGTAAGCACCGCTCTGGGCTGCACAGCAAGACCAAGGAGAAACATCTCCCTTGGGGAGACTCCCTTGGGAGCCTACACAATCCTTTCCCAGCACGATTGCTTCGGGTGGACTCTCTATCAGGGCTTGTTGAGTTTTAGGAAAGCCTGAGCTTACCCAACCTGGGGGGGCGGGGGAGTGGGCTGAATTGGGATCTCCATTTGTGTAAAGTTCGGTGCCAGATACAAGGTCCCAAGGAGTGAGATGGGACTTGCCCAAGAGAGGAGTTAAGCACGTGGGTGCTGGGAAGCCGTCTCCTCTGGGCCCGCAGCCAGGATGATCTGACAGAGAACACTTCACTCCCATCCTGAGGAGGAAAACAAGTGGTCATCCTTCCTGTGACACAGCCCAAATTCCAGGAACAGGGGGGGCCCTGGCGGGGGTCAGCCCTGGATACCTCCCATCGTCTTGCCACGCACTGCCCCGGCTGGGCTGCTGCCAGCAGCACTCTGGGGCTCCCACTGCACCCTCCTGGGCTGCTCTGCAGCACAGCTGAGGCCTGTGCCTGGCTCCTTTCAACCAGGGGTGCTCCGAGGAGCCCGCCCTGGTGGTTCTGGGCAGGCAGGGGAGCTGTGCTCTTGTGCCTTGGGAGGCAGTGGGAAGGTGACAGCTTGGTTCACCCCCGAGAGAGAAAGAAGTGGCAAGACCTGGGCTCTGGTGTCTGGGCGCAAGGGTGGGAGAATGGCAAAGGGGCAAGACCAGAGTGGAGCAGCGTGAGGAGTGACGGGAGAGATGCTTCCCCTGTAGAACCCCCATTCCCAGCTGGCAGGGAGGCAATGGCAGTGGTGCTGGGGCTGCCAGCCCAGGGCTCCCAGACACCAGAGCAGCGCCTGGGTGGGTGCGATAGACTGGAAGGGGACCCGTGAAAGCATCCAGATAGACCCGTGCTGAGTCACGGCTGGGAGGCCTCACAGCTTCCCCCTCCCCGGTGGCAGGTCCCGGCAGACGCACACCCCATTGCTCCTCCCCGCTTCAAAAGGAAGGAAAGGGCAAGCCCCGGCCCTCCGCGAGCGGGTGTGAGCGCAGCCAAGGTGCTCAAGCCCTCAACCCTCTGAAAGCCTCCCGTGCTGGTGCTCCACGGAGGACAGACCAAGTCAGCGCAGCAGTGAGCGATCCCTCCCCACGCTCCTGGGATGGAGAGTCGGCAGCACAGCGCCACCGAAGAGCCTGAGATCGAGCTATTTGTGAAGGTGGGTCCTGGGGGGGAACAGTTGCTCTTTGGCAGTTCCCTGCAAGCTCATCCTCACCAGGCTCCAGCTGGGTGCGGGTGGTGGGAGCTCGGGAGTGTCTTCACGTCTCAGAAGGCTGGAGACAGGAACCAAGTTTGGGATCACTGGCCATGAAGGCAGCTGAGCAGGTGCCCCAGGGAGGCACCAGGTGCAGGCACCAGTGGGTGTCACACCAGCATCCTGCAGGATGCCCCTGTCTCATACCCTGGGAGCAGCGCTGCTGGCAGCTGGTGTGAGGGGGTAGCGGGCACACATGCGCCTCTCATACCCAAATGAGAGGAACCCCCACCAGGGAGCAGCGAGTGGGAGGGCTGAGCAGCCGCCTCAGCTTCTCCTGTGGGCCAGGGTTGTGAAATGGAGCACCCCGCCCTGGGAGCCATAAGGTGCCACGGTGGGATGGATGGGACAGCTTCACAGAGCAGGTCAAGGGGTTACTCACTGGAAATAGGGTTTTTCCCTGTTCAGCAATTTTCTGAACACTTCCCCAGGAATATTTTAACACGAGTTCAAAATATCCTCAATGGCGTGCAGGGAAAGAGAAGCCAGCACTAGTGCTGGTACCCACATGCATCACCAGCGATGCCAGCGGGGCCGCAGGACACGCTGTTAAGTGGCAGTGGCCAAGGGGAGAGAAGCCTCCCTGTGCCACCACATTGAGGTTTCTAGGGGTTTCCTTGTAGCTACTTGTCTTGGTGGTCTCCACTCCTCTCCCGGGCAGCGCGGTTACTGGAGGCACTGCAGTGCCTGGCCAGAGGCACCAGCTTCCTGGGAACAGGCACCCAGCAGCACTGAGCACTGCGCGGTGCTCTGCTTGGGTAGCACTTGGGAATACATGTTGGAAAGGATAACCTGAGCCTCTGTGGGAGTGATGTCCCCATCCCTTTGCCAAGACTGTGGCCACGGCCATGCTTGCCAGGCACTGAGCTCAGCTGAGCCAGATCCAGACAAGTGTATTTTCTGGGTGAAAGTAATGGGGGTCTTGAATTCCTTTCTTAGCACTACTTGTTCCCAGGGGTGGCCAGGGAGACGTGGAAAATGACACATGAGGTGACTGCAATGGCGGCAGCATGTTCCAGGGACCTTCTGAGGGAAGGGAAACTGAAAACAAAGCAGCAGCATCCTCAGGACTTCCCCTGTGCCTTAATTTAGTCTGAAAAACCCCTTCTGGCTTGTCTGCTACCAAAGTGATGCTATGCCTCCTCCTGCCATTCAGCACCCAGTTTTACCAAAGTCACCTGCCTACACCATCACGCCTTGCACCTCACAGGGCCGGGGTCTGTCCTGAGACAGCCATAAATCAGCATGAGACAGCCATAAATCATGGGGGGGGGGGGGGCGGTGCTCCTACAGGCACCTACCCGCACCCTGCCTCTGCCTGGCTTTCGCTCTGGCAAATGCTGCAGTTAACTTGGTGAGAACAGGAGGGTGTGAAGCAGGTCCTGCATCACCTTTGGGTTGGGGCAGGAGGTCCCCAGAGGGCTGGCGATTTTTTGCCCTGCCATGGTCCCGATGAGAGCATCATCCTGTGGCTGTGAGGCTCTCCCTACCCAGAGGAACCTCTGCCCCTCAGCCCCACAAGGCTTTTAGCTGTCCCATGACTGCTCCCTGGGCTTTAGGGTGGCTGCAGGAACTGTGGGCAGGTCCCAGTGGGTGATGAGCACTTTGCAGTGCCTCAGGCACGCAGAACTGCTCCCTCCTCCTACAGTGTTTCATGCTGTTTCACTGAGGGGGAAACCACAGGAACTGCCAAGGAACTTTGGGGTTTAACACAGCTTCGTGAGGCCCCAGAGAGCTGGGGCTAGAAAGCTGCCCCTCCTTGGAGATGCTGCACCAGCCTGTGCTGGGTTTATCCATCATCCAGTGGGGAAAAGAGTGGGGAAGGTCAGCCTGGAGGCTGCCGGCTCTGCACCCTGGCCCCTGCTGCAGCGCCGGAGGGGTGGAGTGGGCGGAAGCAGGGGCAAAAGCTCTGCAGAGGCAGAAGCGAAGGGCGATGACTTCCCTGGCATCGGGCGGGGGGAAGCTGCTGGGGAGGGACAACATGCAGCTGCGAGTGTCCCCAGCCCCTCTCCCTGACTGCCCTGACTCCCAGTGCTCTCCCCAGGGCAGGGTGCCCTGCTCTGGTGCCTGCAGGGAACCCCTGCGGCTGTGCTCTCTCATAGGAGATCCAACACACAACCTTATACCCCTTACCAAAGGAGCCTGTTGGTTATAAGCTGACCCAGGACACTCCTGAGCAGCAGCTTCCCAGGAGCATTTCTTATTAATAGCCAACCAAAAGCCTCCTGTGTGAATTCAGCTTCTCTGGGTATATCCCAGAATCTGTTTCTTAGTTCCCATTTCCTTTCTCAGGAGCACCATTTCAGGACAGCTGAGCGTAGGAAACACTGCTTAAGAAGTAATTTTCATTCCCCTGGAAGGACTAGAAGGTGTTGGCATGGTGGAAAAGCAGACACCAGCTCCAGTGGAGCCCTCAGTACATCAGGGGTTCGGTTTGATCAGTTTAGCATCTCCTGTAGGATGAGTTTGAGGCTGGTGCCTCTCTCCTGGAGCAGCCGAGCACTCCACAGCCCACAGGTTTCTGCAAGACTCATGGCACTTAAGTGCAGCCCAGCAGAGCCAGGCACAGGTCTCTACATCTTTGCTAATGAAGCATCCCCACCCAGCGTGTCTTTGGGGTCCCAGTGAGGTGCAAGCTCTGGAGCCAGCCCCAGTTGCCCACTCTGGATGTTACTGCTGCTGCTTGACTTCTGCACCCCAAATCCTCCCAGCTCCAATCACCCTCCTGCTCAGCCCCTGCGCTCCAGCTCCCCGGCTGACCTCGAGGCTCATTGCAGAGCCGGGGGTCGTGCCTCCTGCCGGGTGCCGTGAGAGCAGCATCCCCGTGAAGAAGTTGGCGTGGCTGCACTGCTCCTCCTGCACCAGCAGGACGCCAGGCGCGCATCATGCAGGGTCGTGCTTCATGTGCAGCTGAGGAACCGCTGACTGCTCTTAAAGAAGTCGGGTTTCCTGTGAGCCATTTTACCAACTTCCCTCTCTCAGCAGCGTCTGTGCCCATTTTCATGCGCTGGCTGGGGGGGAGGGGAGGAGAGGACAGGACGGGACGGGACGTGACGTGCCCCATTCATCTTGGCCAAACTCATGAGGTGTCTCAATCCTTTTCGCAAAAGGTATTTAGCTGCTATGTAGCAAGGACATAGGCTTTGCTCCACCTGCTGCTGCTTTCCCTTAGCGATTGCCGAATGGGCATCATGTGGGTGAGAGAGGCTGATGAGGGAGCCCTGCTGGAACACAGGCAGGTTGTCCAAGCTCCTTGCTTCCCCGCTGGTGTTTGTCCCCATCCTGCTCACAGAACAGCCCCTCAAGCACTGAGATGCTGCAGCTGTGTCCATGCAGAGGGGTTGAAAGGGACTGTCTGCACATGACCAAAGCTTTAGGAGCTAACACACAGCTCTGTTCCCCACTGATGCTGCGTGGGATGCCAGCACAGATCCACCACTGCTCAACCCTGCCACCCCTACCCCCTTCTCCTCAAGGCCCAGGAGGCTGCTTGGGTGGTTCTTGGCTATTATCAGCCCTGGGAAAATCACACCTGGATTTATTAAACACAACTGGAGGCAGACGTTAGCAGCACATGAAAACTGTTCTTTTCCTGGCAAATATGAGCACATTTCCCTTCTCACCACCCTCTCCAGCCTGGTCTCCCAGCCAAGCGGATCCTCCCTTCCTCCCTATCCACCGGCAGCCACTCTCCACCTCCTTCCCCTGCCTCCTCCTTCTCCTCCTGCTGGCTTTATCTCACATTTCTGGGAAGGGCCTGACCTCAGGCATCCTGAGGATGCTTTCCCATCTTCCCAGAGGCAGCAGGGTCACGGCTCAGAGGAGGAATCCTGCAGCTGAGCAAGCCCCGGTGGTGGGCCAGGTTCCTACAGCATGGGTGCCGGGGTGCCAGTCTGGTCCTCCATGTACCTTCCTCCTGAGACTGGCTCCAGAGGCTCTCCACCTCCAAGCATCTCACCAGAGCGCAGCCCAGGCACTAAATCCCCATTTCTCTGCTTCCCCTGCAGGCTGGTCTGGATGGAGAGAACATCGGGAACTGCCCCTTCTGCCAGCGCCTCTTCATGGTGCTGTGGCTGAAAGGGGTCAAGTTCAACGTCACCACAGTGGACATGACCAGGTGAGCAGCTCCACGGCCCAGTCCTGGGCCAGCAGTGGGGCAAGACACCCCTCCTCAACTCTATTCCTCCTATCCCACAGCCAGCATGCCAGAAGGATGGGGTGACAGCCCCCACCATGGGGTGCTGCTAGGGGGCCAGCACAGAGCACCAGCCATGTGCCAATCTGTGTGTGGCACAGGAACCCCCTGTGGTCTGGGTGTGGGTACAAGCATGAGGCACTACAGGGCAGACCGAGAGGCTGGGGAGCGCTTCTCAGCCCCTCAAACCCAGTGGCGCATGAAAGTGGGGATGCTGCCGGTGCTTGCCCCATCCACAGCCCCACCTCAGCCTGGCCCATTCACTGTGGGAGGCTGCAGGCACTGAGCCCACTCATTTCCTCCGCTCCAGGAAACCTGAAGAGTTGAAGGACTTAGCACCAGGCACCAACCCACCCTTCTTGCTGTTCAACAAGGAGCTGAAAACAGACTTCATCAAGATTGAGGAGTTCCTGGAGCAGACCCTGGGCCCACCCATGTAATCTCAAGCTCCCTCCTTCCCCTCTGGGGGCGCTGGGCACGCTGCAGCATTGTGCAGTGCCGGGCAGATTGGGAAACCAAGGAAGGGCACTGGGAGGTGCCCAGGGCAGTGCGGGACGGGGCTGGCTCCCACCCAGCACCTGGCACCCTGCTCCGCAGGGACATGGATGGCAGTGCCAGCGGGCTGCATCCCCTGGGGAAGGCAGTGGGTTAGGCTGCGAGGGGAGGGGGCTGGGCTGGAGTGGAAAACAATGGAAGGAAAGACCCATGTCCCTTGGCACTCAAGGCATAACTCACCTGGGAACCACAAGGCTGAATCCTGCCTTTATCCTTGCCCGTACTGACAAGTGTCTCTTTGAAGGTATCCGCGCCTCAGTCCCAAGTACAAGGAGTCCTTCGATGTGGGGAGTGACATCTTTGCCAAGTTCTCGGCGTACGTCAAGAACCCACGCAAGGAAGCGAATATCAGTAAGAAACACCATGATCTGCCTTGCTGGGTGGGGAGGTGCTTTTGTCTGCATCCAGGTGAGGTTAACTGGCGGTGAAGGATACCGCTGCCTTCCCCACCAAAGCTTTCCTGGTGAGCAGAGGTGTGGGCAGGAAGGGTGAAGGCAGCCTCGAGCTCCATGGGGCTAATGGCCCCATGTGCAGGCGCTGGGGAGAGGAGTATGGGGTGATGCTAGTGGAGTCTCCTGGGAGCAGAGGCTCTGGCCAGGGTGCAGTGGTGTGCAGCACTGGTGTGGCTCTGTGGGCTCACCCAGGGCACCGGCTCATGGTGCCTGTCCCCCTGTGTACCCAGGCTTTGAGAAGGCCCTGCTGCGGGAGTTCCAGCGCCTGGACGTTTACCTGAACACGCCTCTCCCTGACGAGATCGACCAGGACAGTGTGGAAGATGTCACCGTCTCCAAGAGGAGGTTTCTGGATGGAGACCATCTGACGCTGGCTGACTGCAACCTCCTGCCCAAACTGCACATCATCAAGGTAACGGCACAGTCCTCGGGCTGCAGTGGGGACAGCCACTCCAAGGGGAGGTCACAAGGTGGGGGGATGCAAATTGTAGCTGGGTCCCCTGTATTTGTCCCAGAGATGAATCCTCCCCAGGCCTGCAAAGTCTCAGCCTCTTACTCTCTTCCCCTCTTCAGATTGCAGCCAAAAAGTACCGCAACTTTGAGATCCCGGCAGACATGACAGGCGTGTGGCGCTACCTCACCAATGCGTATGCCTGCGACGAGTTCAGCCACACATGTCCTGCGGATGAGGAGATCGAGCACACCTATGCCAGCGTGGCCAGAAAGATGACCTAACCCGCAAGGGGCACCCGCCTCCCTCCGCAAGGCAGGGACCGGAGGGGGCTCAAAGCACTGCTGCCCCTGTCCTTCCTAATAGTGCCTTGCTTCACACCACTCCTCCTCCCGCTCCTCTGGCAAGGACCCATCCCTGCTCCCCGAAAACTGGCCTCGTGGCCTGTGCCTGCATGTCATGGGCAAAGTGGAGCGCTCGCCTGCCTCAGCAGCACTGTGTGGAAGAGCAGCTGAGAGATCCCTCCCCCATGGCTCGGCCGGCTCTGCCTCCCCATCCACTGCTGGAGCTGCTTCGCCAGCCCTGCGCAGTCCCAGCCATGCCATATGCTGCGGAAGAGGTGTCCCAGGATCCCAGCACACCTCCTGGGCTGGAGTTGTTGGAGCTCACCTAGTCACCCTTCTGCACACCACCCCACAGCGTGTTTGGGCAAGCCCTCTCTTCCACCACAGCATCCAGGCTCCATCTGAAGAACTGGAAGGCTCCATCCCCAGTAGTTTGCTGCAGTGACACATTGTTGTCGCTGCTCAGGTGTTGTAATGCATCCTACTGCCCATTAGGACATGAAGGCAGGTGGATGGCTCTTGGTGTGAGAGTGCCAGGACCTGTTGCGGGAGGGAAGGGGGGTGCTGAGGCATGTAAAGGGCTGAGGATGGAGGGCTGAGGATCAGGGCATCCCTTCCCTGTGTACCAGAACCCAGAGCTATATGCTGCTTGCTGCAAGGTCCCATGTGGCTCCTGAAAGCTAAGAAACCTCTCCCTGTCTTGCAAGATGCTGCAGGAGATACAGCCGTGTGCTGATCTAGGTCCACCTCAGTCCTCACCAGCATGTCAGGTGCCTGACTGGCAGATGGAGGCACACAGGGTATGGCATCCGTCTGGTTTCCACACCCTGCTAGCAGACAGCCCAAGAGGCAAAAGCTGCTGTACAGAGCACTGTGTCTGTCGGAGACATGGGGGCAGGTTTGGTGCTCCCTGGCTCAGCACTGTGCCTTCCTGTCCACTGATGCATAGAAGAATCAAAGCCACTCTGCACAGCCATGACACCCCATCCTATACCTTCAGCTCCCCAAGGGCTCCTGCCAGTGTCCGTGAGCTCAGCCAGACCCCTCTCCCTCCCCCGGCCAGCCCGTGGGCAAAACAATACTGTACAGTGAGCACGGTGGGTCCTGCAGGGCCGCAGCAGAACCCCTCTGGCCCTCACTGCCACTTCCCTCTTTGCACTAAAAGGTGTGTCCTTGCAAGCCTGCCTCTCATAGCACTGGGTTTGGGGACTGGTTTTGTTATTAATGGGATTTGGTTTGTTTGGGTTTTGTAATCTAAGAACAGCAATAAATTTATTTTAATACGCCTCGCCTGTGTAGTGTCAGCGCAAGGGTTGCAGCCACCAGGCACGGAGGGTGCTGAGAAGGGAAACCCTGTCCCACGGGAACAATGTCCCCTCGTGGGGCACATCCATGGACATGGGCCCTCACCCTGCCTGTGGCGCTGGGAGGATGCAGGGAATGAGTAACCACAGGATGCTGCTCTGGTGTGAGGGGTTTATTCAGCTCCTGCTGGCAGCTGGCACGTCCCTGCCAGGCCACAGTGGCAGCTCTGCCTTGCCAGGAGTCCTGGAGGGCTGCTTTATGGGAGAAGCACTGTCCTGTACCCCAGATCCTCATGCACTCTTCCCCTGCCCCACAACACCCCTCCTCTGCTGCAGACCCTCCCCGCTTTCCCCACAGGGGACCAGAGCCCTTTCACAACTCAGTGCAATCAGTCCAGCAGGGTCGGGTGTGGACGGAAGGTGCTGGGATCGTGGTGGCAGGATGCGGCTGGCAGAGCTCCTCCTGAACCCCTCACTTGGTGACACAGTATTTCCAGAAGCAAGCTGGGAGGGAAGGAAAAGAAACCCGTGCAAGGGGATGCAGGAGCACTTGGCTACAGCTGGAAAGTTTAAAGGAAGGGAGATGTCCATCTCTTCTCCCAGGCTCTCCGGCTTTGAAGTCAGTTCTAGGAGCACAGCCTGGGAGCTGAATGCCTCAGTTGAGACCACAAGCACCCTCTACCCCGAGTCACGAGCATCTCCACGCCAAGCCCAGCCCCTGCTTGCCAAGGCCTCTTTTCAGGTTGTCCTGGTTTTAGCTTAAACCACGACACAGGTTAGTGCAGGTGGGCCAGGTCCCAGGACCTCCTAGGTGCTGGGCACTCACCTTTCTTGCTGGGCTGTGGAGGGGCCTGGTCTGTCTGGGCAAACCCCTGGCTCTGGAGATTGCCCATGGCCACCATCTTCCGGAGGAATGCATCAAGGTCTTCACCCTGCTGTGGCACAGCAGCCCCATCACCCGTATCCTGTGCCCATGTGTCAAAAGCAGCCCCAAAGCCCTGTCCCCTCAGTTCTGGACCAGTGAGGGAAGCAGCATCAGTCCCCGAACGGGAAGGCCTCAGTCCCCAGTGGTGGCCAGCAGTGATGGGGTCTGCTGGGACCTGGTGGGGAGCTGGCCCAAGGGAGTCCCCTGAGTAGCAGTGCTCCCCTGTGCTGCCCCCAAGCCACAGGGGCACCTCCACTCACCAAGGGTCCAGGGACATCCTCCTGGAGAGCACTTTTCTCTCCTGAAAACAATAAAAAAACGATGCCATGAGCACAGGGGGCTGTGGTTGCAGGGTGGGGGGCAGGGGCCAGGGGAGAAAGGACGTGGCACCACCGCCTGCTCCTCTCCATCTCCCCTGGGGCATGTAGCCTTCAGGACTCTTCCCCCTGGATGCAACCCCTCACCTACCCAAGACCATCCTGGTGCTCCCACACCAGCTCCATCCATGGGTCCAGCTCATTGTGAACTGACACTCACCATTGCCATGAGCTGCTCCCTGGTCATGGCTCACTCCTTCCCACGGTGCAGGCAGAGCCTGGTTCAGGCTCTTGGATGGCCAGAGTCCTGCTGCAGGCTTGCTCTCAGCCATGAAGCTACCTGCGCTGTCAGCCAGGCTAAAATCTGTTGTCTTGAGGGCTGGGTTGAAGGGGGAGACAGTGACAAGGACAAAGTGGCTCATTGGAGGTGGGCTTGTTCCCCGCGCAGTGGGGTGCAGAGATGCAGAGCCTGAGCATAGACTACTGGTACCAGGAATGGCAGGCAGGTTGTTTGAGGGGGACTAGGACACATCCCCTCACCTGGCCATGAGTGCCAGCCTGGGCTAAGAGCCAGCGCGCTGCCCATGGCACTGTGAGCATCACCTCAGCAGAGGTGATGGATCCCTTCCCTCGCCTTGCAGTGATGCTCCTCCTAATGCAGTCTGGGACACTGCTGGCTGCCTTTCCTGCAAGGGCACATTGCTGTCTTGTGAACTTGGCATTGACCAGAAAGCCCTGGCATGTGCTGGAGCCTGGGGTTGTTCCTCCCCAGGGGCAAGACTCAGCATTTCTCCCTGCTGAACAGCACAAGGTCCCTCTCAGCTATCCAAGTCTCCAGCCTATCCAAGTTCCTCGGGATGGCAGCATGACCCTGTGGTGTTATCAGCCACTTCTCCCAGCACTGTGCCAACTGCTGAGGGTGCACCCTATCCCATTTTCCATCATTAACGTCTTAATGAAGATGTTAAACACAGTAATTCCTCTTACCAACCCTTGGGATGCACCGCTGGTGACAGGCCTCCAGCTGGACTTTGTGTCACGGGTCACAGCCAGCTTTCAATTCCACCTATCTAACACCAGCTTTGTCACCTCGCCTGTGAGGATGGTGTGGGAGACAGCGCCACCAGCCGAGGCACACAGCACCCACTGCCTGGCACTGCCTCCAGTATGGCTGCAGCATGCAGTGGAGAAGGTCCTCATCAGCCACCAGCATTCCTCCTGCCACTGAAGTCCCTTCTGAGGGCAGCTCCAAGCACCCCTGACTGGCTTCGCTTAGCTGGAGAGGGTTGAGCCCAGATCCCGGTGTCCCAGGTAGCACCTCGGGTGGGCACAAGCAGGAATCTCCCCTGGGTGAGTCTGTCCCCTGGCAGTCTGTCTGTGCTGCTCTGAGGAGAGGCGTAATTTAAGGTCACCACAAAACCAGGCATTAGGCACATGGCTACAACTCAGGCAGTAAGTCCTTTGGTGTCCGAGTGTATTTAACTGGAAACCAGCTGGTGTGTCGGGGCTTTCCAGCATCCTACTCTTCGACCCATCCCTCCTTCAGTGCCCGTCTGTACACAGCCAGCGGGAAGCTCCCCTAAGCTCCAGGAGCTGAGCTATCCCAAGGGCTTGGCCTTGAATTCCCTTTGCCTCAGACATGTGGTCAAGCTGTTGAAGCTCTGGAAGTCCCCCTGAGTCAGCCAAGAGCAGCCCCTAAGCAGGCACCAGCGCCACCCCAGGGCCACTTGCAGAAGCGGATCACGGGGCTGAGGTCACACTGTCCTTTGGGACTCAAGCTCTGCCCAAGCTGCAGAGAAGCCCCAGCACATGCTGGTCAGGCAGTGTCGTGGGACCAGGTCTCACGGCTGGTGGGGAGGCTGGTACCAGCCCTGTGACATGAGGAAAGCTCACTCAGTCCCTCCCAGGCTGCCCAGAGGGCTCCGCTTGCTCTGCACATGAGCTGCAGTTCCCTCATCTCCGGCAGGGTGTCAGAAGAACACATAGCCGAAAGGATGCTTTTTACGCCCCAGGCTGGCTGATCCCCAGGGAAACGTTGTCTGTCACCCCAGAGTACCTGGACACATCACCCAAACTCTGCCGTCCACAGATCACAACAGCCAAAGCAATCCCTTGGGTTCAGGATGGTCTTCTGTCCAACCTGGTCACGCTAGGAATAGGTTTAACCCTGCTGGCCATACACTGCCCCTAAGAGCACTGGAGAAATGCCTCCCCAGGTCAGAAGGTCTTTCAGCCCAAGAGAAGAAGGGGGAAGCTGCACTGCTGTGCATGTCTGCAGAAGCCAAGCCTCCATGAAACACTGGATAGGAGCCAGTGCTCAGTGCAAGCCACAACGTGGTGCACAGGGACAAAGCCCACCCAGCTTTCAGGTGTCCTTACCTTGGGCTCTGTCGCTCTCAGGGTAGGCAGGGTAAGCACTGGAGCAGCAAGCCTCCAGCAGTAGTGCCAAAGTGACAACCATCCTCTGGGGAGGCATCTCCTCTCCTTCTCCAAGCCTAGTAAAGGTCACAGTTTCCCGAGAGCCTGCAAGTGACGGAGTCAAGGTGGTTCTCTTTTATGTCCTCCACCTCTGCAATCGATCTGCTCTCATCAGGTGGGTTGCCTTTGCTGCTGGGCTGGCCATCCATCCTGAATGACAGGCAATGACTATCCCTGCTCTCTATCCTGATGACAGGGGATGACTGGATCTGCTCTCCCTCCACTTCGATCTCTGCCACTCTAGAATGAGGATGCTTGATAAATGCTTGACTGGGTTTTCACAAGCTCCACTGCTTACCATGGGACGAAGTGCCTTGGAAGGCTCAACTATGGACAGGTTGGGTCTGGAGGAGGATCAGAAGAGAACACAGGGCCGATATCTGGACAAAATACGTGGATCCACACTTCCATTTTGCATGATCTTCCTCCCCAAGAGTTACCATGTTTCCTGCTCCTTTCACATCTCATGGCAACACGAGGACAGTGGCAAAGTCTTTGTCCACCTGAGCATCCTCAGGGGGTGCCCCAGCCCCTGACAGGACCCAGCAAGAGATAAGCCTCACTCTCTGCAGCCAGCAGCTGTGGAGCAGCTCAGAGAGAGAGAGTTGGAGTCTGGGTAGTTTGGGCTTAAACACTCATTTTAATTTCTGCAAAAGAAAAGGGAGTCAGGGATGGAGGCCTTGCATCCAGTGTCCCACAGGAACCGTCACAAGGCGAGGTCATGGAAAATGGCTTTCCTGAGAGTAACACATCCTCTCTAAAGATGTGAGTACAGAGCAGACCCCACATGCTCCACATGTCATCAGGGACCTGGCCCAGCTCTCTCACGTCCAGGTTTCTCCAGTTCCCATCTGAGACCCCATCTTATTCACAAGCTCACTTTCAACTGACTTTATTGTCAGCAAACTGGAATAGATTCTAATGAAATCTCTGCCTAGAAGGCTTAATTCGGAGAAAGCCAGGGGAAACTGCTCCTCTCTTCGGTGGCCTCAGCCAGGCCACCATTGCTATGACAGCAGCTTGCACTCTTGCTCATAAAGTGCCGTGCTTCCTGAGACCAGCAAGGAAGGATCTGGCAGACACAAGAGGATTTTAGGCGCTCAGCTGAAAACCAACCTTGGGTGTTATTCCTGGCTAAGCAGTTTGTTTGGTGCTCTTTCCTATCCACACCAAGGCTGGGACTTGGCCAGGCTGAGCAGTACCTGCTTCAGAGGTGCCATGAGGAAAGTCCCTTTGAAATCTCGGTAGGAGAGCTGTGTTCCTCCATCTCTGGTGTCCTCTCCTTGTGAGGGGTGGAACATCATGGAGTCTTCCCTGTGGAACGCTGGAGAGGATGCTTGGGAACCTGAGCATCTGTCTGTTAAACGCGAGGCTGACCACGGCCCTGCTGACCACAGAACAGGGACATGGCAGCGTCTGCATGCCCAGGCACAGGCTCTCATTTTTCATGGAGTGGTTGAAGGCGCATTGACAGGAGATCATTACTTCTGTCTGCAAACCCCTGCCTGTCAGGCACAGATCAGACCGGGAGATGGATGAGGTGAAGTGTTCATCCATCCTGCCTGGGTGGACTGCTCAGCTGGCACCTTTCTCCTAACAGAAATCCATACCTAGCCTATTTTCTAGCTGCTTCCATCCCCTGGATTCCAGTTTCATGTCATGTAATGAAAAATCATGGAGACAGGGTCATTGCTTCTGCTCTCAGGACACAGGCACGGACTGGAGAGGGGCAAGACAGGGAGAAAGCCTGGGTACCCTGCCAAATTCACACGTGCATCACAAGAGATGATGTGCCCGCAGCCCAGAGGGCAGCTCTGCTTGTGCTGTGTATCACCTGGTGCATGAGCTGTCTGTGTGGGCAGAGAGCTGCAGAGCAGTGTGGCCCCAGCAGCATGGGGGGACTGGGACAGCTCCGAGCTGTGACGCCAGCCCATTCCTTGTCCACAGGCCAGAGATCCCCTGATGTATGCATCAGGAGGATGGGGAGCACAAGGACCGGCCGTATCTCATGGAACCTGCCTGAGAAGAGCTGGGGCAAGCTGCCAGCCTCCTCCATCCAACATTCTTCCTGTGGAGCAAGGGCAGCTGGTGACAAGCTGGTGACACACAGCTCTTTCAGCAGAGTGCACATGGCACCTCCTGGATGCAGACGCATGCAGGAACCAGGCATGGGCTTTCCCAGACCACATGCAGCAGAAGCAGTTTTGCAGCATCCCAGCCCCAGAGCTTGGCCTGAGACACTGCTCTCTGTCTCCCATGGCTTTCAAAGACAAATAGGGTCCTTCATTTGTCCTGGCAGCCTGCAAAATAGTAGACCTCAATTTCCCCGCATCGTTTCAGGAGCTGCCAAGTCCCTTGGGTTTGTTGGGTGGCTTTTCCCCTGCGGCAGCTGCAAAAGTCCCATTAGCCCCAACACAGCAATTTTCCACTCTCCAATAGTTTTATAGGCTAGCAGCTGTCTGAGAATTAGTAATAAATACCCCCTTGCACAGCCCTAACCCGACTGTGCCTAATACACAGCTGTTTACAACTGCATTCGTCTCATCACTTTGATGCTGGACCGGCAGAAGCTGAGAGCGGAGCAGCCGGGAGCAGCGTATTGATCGCGGTGAGTCAGAGCTCTCACAAACCTCCGCAGCCAGCACTCGGCATTGCTCTGCGGCCGCTGGCCTGAGGCAACACAAGGAACAGCCCCGACACCCGGAGGGAGAGTGGGAGCCGGATGCGTGCCCGCTCCCGAGCGCTGCGGCAGCAACGGAGGGGCCCAGCCAGGAGTCATACTGCACTGGTTTGCCTGGGACCTGCCCCTGGACCCGGCTCCAAACCCTGCAGTGAGCATCGCATCTTCTTGCTGTGGCTCACAGCTCACACCTCCGAGACGAAGCAAAAACCCCCTCTGACATCCACTCGGAAACTTCAGCTGCTGAAATGCCACCTTGAAATGTCACGTTTGCCTTTTTCCACCCTGCATGCACATCTCTGTTTCATACAGAATGGGAACATCTCAGCTTCTTCAGCCACCCACCATGCTAGGGTGAGTCCCTGCTGCCAGTGAGTAACTCGCCTGAATCACCCGTGGGGATCCAAGCGCTGCAGCTCAGAACAGAGCTGGTTGCTTTTACCTTGAAGGCCCTGGCAGGATGCCACAAAAGCACTGGCTGTAACCCAGCCCAAACTTGGCATCCAGCAGCTGCCCTGCCACAAGCAGTGACCGTCAGGAGTGGTGCTGGAGCTGGAGCCCCTGTTTTCAGCCCATCACAGAGAGTGAAACAAATTACAGAAACTCAGAGCCTTGTTTCAGCTGAGCCTGTGAGGAACTCGGTTGGCAGCAAACAGCTTGTGGTGATAGCACCCGTGCTCTTTCCAGCAGCTCCTGGGACAACCTCCTTCCTGTTGTCAAAATGCAGCCCAACCTATTTAATACACCACATCTCCCCATATGTCTGTGGACGTCCACCTGGCTGGACACCTACTCCCCCCCAGCGCCATTCTATCCCTCCCCTCCTCAGGCACAGAAGAGAAAATACAATGAAAGCCTCCTGGGCTGGGATAAGCGCCACACTGCCTGGCACTTGGAAGAGGGTTTCCCTTGCCCCAGGCACAGCTTCAAACTCACCCTGAGACAACAGCAGGGCAGGGCTTCTCAGAAGAAACCTGTCCCAGTGCTGGCAGGCAGGATCAGAAACCAGCCCAGCAGTTTACAGCTGGAGATCCAGCCTTTTCCCACAAAACAGCCGCACGCAGAGCAGCTGCAGGTGCAGTTTTCTCCCAGGGAAACCCCAAAATACTCTTGGTGCCTCTCCCAGATGCTTCTCAGGCAGGGCAGTGGTGGTTCTGTAACACACCAAGAACAAGGAGGGGAGCCAGTTTTCCGTAGCAAATTAGTGTTATTTAAAAGCCAGCTCCAGTGCACAGTCAGGATTTTCAGACAAGAAAATAAAAGACCTACTCTCTCAGTAGAAGTTTCTATGTGAGTAAATACATAAATCTGCACTGGTATATATACCGTACACACACATACACACATGTAGATGGATAAATAAAAGTCTCGAGCTTCAGCTTTGGGATGTATTCCTCATGCTTTGGTTCAGGAGCACCAAAACCACAGGGGGCAGCCCTGTAGATCCCGATGTCGCCAGCTCATGGCAGCCTGTGCCTGCCCCGGGAGCTGCCGCGGCTCTGGCCCTGCAGGCACAGGCAGGTCTGAGCTCGCACCATCGTGGCTGGGGCAGCTCCTGGAGCCACCTCGAGCTCTACGGATGCCGTGACCAGAGACACAGCTGCTACAGCTCCCAGGCAGCCGGGGGACGCGGCTCGTAGCCACAGACAGCGGCTCGTGGCAGGCAGGGGCTGGGTGCACCCGGCGCTGCCTGCTCCGGGGCACCCTCCTGCCCGCTGCCGTCACCTGCCTGCCGAGCAGCCCCACAGCCACGCAGGGGCTGGCGGGTGGAGGCGAACTGCCCCCCATCCTCCTCCTCCTCCTCACTGGCCGGCAGCTTCACGGAGCTGAGCGGTACCCAGCAGCCTGCCAGGCCAAGCCTCTCCCACTCGTCCTCTGGGCTGGGGCTCCTGCCTGGTGTGGGCAGGTGAAGGCAGCTGCCTGCTACAGGGGCTTGGAACTGGCATTTAGAACAGAGCTGGAGGTGCAGGGAGAGCCATGTCTTGGATGTCTGGTATTCCCTGTCACCTGTGTAGCCGTCTCCTGCCAGTCCCACTGGCACCGGCCGCTCCAGCACATCACCACTACTTGTCTCATCCTCCTTCAGCGGCAGGGAGACCTGGCAGCCCAAGACCTGCCCCAGCGCAGGATGCAAGACACAGGATGGGTCCCTTCCCTCCCAGCAGTCCGGCCCAAACCCGTTGGCACAATAGCCACTCGTGTTCTGGGAAAGGCTTTCCGTGAGGAGCTGCTGGGCTGCGGGTGTCTGCTCAGCTGCAGGTGGCCCATGGGAGCAGGGAATGGGCAGCAGGAGCAGGGCGACAGAGTCCTGCTGGAGCTCGAGGGTGGGAGTCCTAAAGGTCACACTCAGCTCCCTGTTCAGGAAACCCTGGTGGGAAACAGTCAGCGTCAGCCTCAGCCTGCAGGGACTGCGCTGAGCCACAAGTCCTGTCACACTGCTGCTCCCAAGCTATGCCCCAGCTGCCAGAGGCCGTGGGAGACTTCTCACCTGCCTGGGGACACAAGCAATCCCTGCACAGAAGCCAGGGAGAACAGGAAAGCAAAGGGTTGGACAACGGTTTTGGTGGTGCAGGAGGTGGAGGGAAGGAGGTGCTGAGCCCCCTGGAAGTGCAGGGGACCCTGACTCAGCCACAGCACACGGGGGGCAGAGGGAGGAACACTCTTCACTCACAAGTGTTTTCGGGAGGTGGGTCTCCAAGGGGCTGGGGAAGAGAAGCCGCAGGAGGAAGCAGAGGCCGGACACAGTCAGCAGCAGGAAGATGCCACTCAGGACAACGAGGAGGACCCAGGGAAAGCCTGTGAGGAGGTCACAATAGGCTGAGGGGTGGAAAGACCCCTTCCTACATCCCACCCAGCAAGCATCCCCCTAGCCTGCCCTATGCTTGCATCTCCACAGAGCTCCTGTGGCAGACTGTTTGAGAAGATGAGGGGCAAGCCCAAGGGGGACAACAAAAAAACAACTGTTTTCCCTGCCCATGGCAGAGGGGTTGGGAACTAGATGATTTTAAGGTCCTTTCCAACCCTAACTATTCTGATTCTATGATTCTATCTCCCATACAAAAGTCCCCACAGGGCCACCAACCCAGATGGAGTGGCTGGGGGGGTGGGTGACCCACAGCTCCGTACATGCCCATGCCACAAGCAGGACCCAAGATGAGCTGGTGAGAGGTCCCACCTGCGGTGCCCGTGGCAGTTATCATGCACTGCTCAGCCTCACGGCTCCGCTCCCGGGACATGTCTGCGGCCACCGTCCGGAGGCAGTACTGTGTGCTGGGCTTCAGGTCTCTGAAGGTGCATGGAGCTTCCTCCCTGCTCCGCCTACAGGGCACCTGCAAGCAGAAGGGGTGTGTGGCTGAGCCAGCTGGAGGTGGGGTTTGGGCACTGCTCCACTTGCCCAACCCCGCTACATACCTGCTGGACCAGCATGTCCCCTTCGTACAGGCGCAGCCAATACCACAGCTTCAGCAGCACTCGGTCAACCGGCTTCTGGGAGCCGGCTTTCCTTCGATAGGGAGTGAGTGGCATGATGATATTGACAGTGAGGATGTCACCCTGGAGCAGCCAGGACAACCTGGGGGGTCCCACAATGGCTGTAGGGAGGGGAAGAGAAAACTTAAAACCCCCAAAACAGAAGGCAGCATCTTGTTTCCCTAGAAATGATGTTTTTCTGTTTGACATCCCTCTCCCAGCACACAGAAACCTCCTCAGACCTGGCATGATGGCGCTTTGTGCTGTGACTGAAACCAGCTCCAGAAACAGCCACCACCACATCTTTGTGATGCTCAGTGTGTCTCTGGTCACACCAGCACAGGCCATGGCTGAGCTGCTTCTTGCTGCTGAGTGCCTTATCTTGAGCCATCAGATGATGGTTGGAGACTCACTGTGGAGTACAGCAACAGCTCTTCCAGCAAAGTGCAGCTGTTTCCATGGCAGCTGGGTGCAGGAGGGATGGAAAAGCAGCCACCCTACATCCCATGTCAGCTGCTAACACATTCTGTTCACTGTGAGAACCCCCTGTGGGGAGGTCTTCAAGCTTTTCTTCCTCCAAAACACAGGCAGGTTTTTTGGCCAGGACAGCCAGCCTGTGACTGAGAAGAGGCATGTGCTAGCACCTCACACACAGTCACAGCGGACAGAGCTGGAGGGACAACTCCTGCCTTCCCCAGCCTGCGCCAGCCTCACGTGCTGGAACACCCATCACCTCCCAGAGCCATGGCAGAGATAAACAGGGGATGCTTTTAAAAGGCAAAGCCCGGAGGGGATCCTCCTTCCTACCCCATCTTGCTGCATCCTGCACAGACCCAAATTCTCACAATGCCTCAGTGGCCTGGGGCCTCCCATCCATGGTCATCACCTTACTGTGCCTCGTCCTCTGTCCCCTTGCCCTTCACCCAGCCCTTCTCCAGCAGTGCTGCTCCCACCCCTTTGCCTGGTTAGGGCTCTTGGCACTTTTCCCACCAGTATCCTCATTTGATTTCCCACCATGTCCCACCAGCCCTCTCCAAGGCACTCTCTCCCCATTGGTTCCTTGGGAAGAGCAGGAGCCCAGCTGAGTGAAGGAGCTCCTTTACTGGTCCTTACTGTCTCTGTAGAGCTGAAGCTCACGGGAGTAGGCCCACTCAGAATGCTCGCCTCCAGCTACTGCTCTCACCCGTGCCCAGTAGATGTCATGGATCTTGTCAAAATACAGCTCACACACCCAGGAGGGGCCGGTGCTGTTCCCCCAGCAGGCACCTGCATCGATCCATTGGGAGGTTCTGCCCATGGAGAGAATTCAGGGATGTCTCCTTTCCAGCAGCTTGTTAGCCAAAAAGGAAGGCTGCCCATCCCATCTAAGGGGGAAGTGTGGCAGAGCACCGATGCATCCTGGGCTGCATTAGCAACAGGCTTATCAACATGATGCAGTAAAGAAGATGGAAACTTCTCAGTGGTGCCCAATGAAAGGACAAGAGGCAGCAGGCACAGGAATTCTGCTAAACAGGAATTCTGTTTAGGCATATGGGAAAAACAAACAAACCAACCCAAACCCCAGTACAGCCCCTTTTGGGTTTCACTGGGTGGGTGACCAGCAAAGGGAACAGGTTGCCTGGGCAGGCTGTGGAGGCTTCATCCTTGAAGGTGGTCAAAGCCCAAAGGACACAGTCCTGAGCTGACCCTGCCCGAGCAGGACGTGGATGAGTCATCTCCAGAGCTCGCTGCCGGCTCTGCTCTGGGGTCACTTGGGGGTGTTTACTGCCAGATCATGACCCCCTGCCTACAGGGGGCAGCGGGACAAGCCCCTCCACCTACCTCCTCCTCCACTCCACCTGGAACGTGGCCTGGAATGCAGCCCCGGGGTCCGGCTCCCACCGCAGGCGCACATGGAAGTTCTGTGCCTCCAGCTTCACATCCCGCGGAGGTAACAAAGCTCCTGTGGAGGGGGAGCAGCGGGGTCAGACAGCGTCGCTCCGCTCCTTGGCTGGTCACTGCCTGTCCACGCTGCACACAGGCATCGGGGGCCTTCCCCCCCCCAGCACCCAGCTTCTGTCCTGCACCAGCAAACACCGACTCCCTGGGCCTGGGCAGTGCCGGCTGCCAGTGCGATGCTCAGCACTCGCATGTGCGAATCCTGCACACCCTGCAGCATCCTGCACACCCTGCAGCATCCTGCACACCCTGCAGCATCCTGCACACCCTGCAGCATCCTACCTGGAGTGGAAGGCTCTGACACCCCAACGTGGCTGCTGGTGACCCTGGGGTTTTCTTTCCCATCACACCTGGAAGACCACTCAGTCCTCTCTTTCCTGCAGGTGCCTTCTGTAGGCGTGAGAGTTGTCCCCATGCTTCTCTCCCCACTGCAGCCAAGGCCACCCCCAGTCCCCTGTGGCAGCTCCAGACCCCAACCTACCCCCGAGCAGGGTGCAACCAGCCAGGGACAGGAGCAGTCTCAGTGCACGGCTCATCCTGCGGCACGCTGTCCATCTGTCCCCAGCTCTAGGGTGCCAGGCTGGGTGCAAAGGGGAGAGGCCTGGCGAGCTGGAGCAGTTCTGCCATCTGCAAACATGTCAGGCAGCCGGAACCTGGGAGCAGAGGAAATGTTTTGTTTCCTGAAGCAGCGGCTGCAGGCACAACTTGAACCAAGTGCCATGGCAGAGTGGCAGGGGACCCCCTGCCACCCCCTGGGACAGGTGAAACAGCAGCAGGGCAGGTGACCCAGGGGCTGCGGTGGCAAGTGGCCTGCAGGGGCAGTGGATAGGTGGCATGCACTGCCACAGCACCCTGCATGTGCCGCAGGACCTTCTGCTGCACCCAGTTGGTGCCCCTTGGTGATCAGTCTGTCACTAAAGGCAACGAGAAGTCCCCAGAACAGACCTAAGCTCACGTGAAGCACAGTGCAGGCAGGTCCCACTGGGCACTGGGGACATGGCTCCGGGGAGTTGCTGTGGCGGCGCTGCAGTACGCTCCTGTCCTGCTTCCTCACCCTTCTGTTGAAACCGACCCACTCTCTCCTTACCTCGGCCTTGCCTCACCTCTCAGCTACTAAGGGGTGTTTTTCCCTGCTCTGGTCATTTACAGAGGTAACCTCACACTGCAGAGAGACACGTGCAAAGGCTCTGAGACCACCAATGCCATCCCTTGGTTGTGGGACACATCTCCTGGTGAAGGCACGGAGCCCTGGGCCACCTTCAGAGGCAGCCGGGTTGGAGCATCCCCGTGGCCAGACTGAACATCCATGGGACTGGCTCACTCTCACTTGCTGCCTCTTGTTTTTCCTCTGTTACACTGCATTAACCTGATGACCACATCTGCCTTAGTGGGTGTGCATAAAATGCTCCATGCTTTCTGTTCCTCGTAAACAGTCAGAGCTGGAAACAAGGGAATGGGTGAGTGGGAATGGGCAACTGCAAACTGTTGTCTTCAAGCCCCGAGAAGCCTCAGCAACGCCAGAGCCAAAGCATGGGCAGCAGGTTCATGGCTTCCCCTGCCCCAATGCCGGCACAAGCCGTCCTGACTGTGCAGCAGGCTCCTAGCGGAGGGCACAGGAGGAACAAGGGGCTCCCAGGACAGCTCCCGGGACTCATGGAGGTGCAGAGCAGCAGCAAGTCAGCTCCCAAGGGGAATGCAGGGACCTGGCTGCCCGCGTGGGCAGGGACAGGGCTGCTCCTGCCACAGGAAAGGCAGCACTTTCACAGGAGTGAGGATGGCTGCAGGACGGTCCCTGCTGACCCCAGCACACTTGCCCCCATCCTCTTTGGCCAGGGGGAAGGACCCAGCACCCTCCCCACATCTCGGTTTCTGTACAGCTATGGTTTCAGCTGCCATCCTGCTGGCTGAAAGGGCGGAGATGAAGCCCCCTCTGCTCAGTGCATCGCTTCCTTCGCCAGCATCCCCCATGGCCACCCCGAAGGAGCAGGGTTCCCCCTTACCTCGCGCCACGCAGCTGCTCATCTGGCCCGTGTAACAGGAACCTGTGAGAGCGAACACGGTGACGGGGGCGGCACCCACCGCGCTGCTAAACAACCGCCCTCAGCTCACAGCTCCGCACCGGGCACCCCCTGCCCGGCTCCCAGAGCGTGCGCTTGAAGCATCACTGGAGTCTGCTCCGCTCCGGGCTCCCTCCTGAACCGTGCTGGGAGGCTGCAGGAGACGTCCCACACGAACAGTTCCCGCCCGGGAGGTTCGTGCCCTTTTTCCTGGATCAGGGGTTTTCCTTCCTTCCTTCCTTGTTGTAGGTGTCTCATCTGGCTGCAGGCTCCCGGCGGCCAGGGCTAGGCCGGCTCAGCAGTGCCCTCTGCGAGCGCATGGCGAGACACAGCCTGTGCCCAGCACCCATCTGTGCCCAGCGCCCGCATTCCTGTTGCAGGGACCACGACCATCCTGGGGACTTCGGACAGCAGCACAGGGACCTGCCCAGGCCCAGGACAGGGCAGACACAACCCAGGACCGCCCCACAAAGCCAAGACTGGGAACAGGTTTTAATCCTTGCCAACTCGGCACTGGAGGCTGGGCACACAGATCTGGCCCTCCACACCCTGCTCTGCCCTGGAGACTGCAAAGAACCCGCATACAGCTCGAAATCACCCTGTGAGTCCCAAGCCTTTGCCAGCCCATGGGGGAGAGAAAGCAGCAGGGATTCTCCTTCACAAGAGCACATCTGTGCAACCCCTCTGAGACCAACAGAACCACCAACAGCAGCATGGGCAGTGCTCGCCGGCACCCTCAGCTCTGCTGTAGCCAGGCACACACAAGTTCAGGCATTTCAAACCGAGAGCCCAGAAGTGGCCACGTGCCACCCCTCAGGCTCAGGCACCCTCGCTGCTGTCCCTGTACTGCACACAGTGCTAGCAGCCTTGATACATCCCGTGGCGCAAGTGGAGTCAGGGCCAATGCCCAGGGGACAACAGCCTCACAGCAGGACAATAGCCATGGGGAACAAGGACACACAGCAGCAAACAGGACAGGCTCTTTAATACCACCCTCACTGAAAACCCCTTTCACATGCTGGCTGCCCACTTTCCTGCCTGTGCCTGGGGCAGAGGCCAGGCAGCTCAGGAGGGCAGGGTATTCCGATCAGGCTTGGTGATCCCTGGGACACAAGGGGGAAGGCGACACAGGCAGTAGCTGCTTCAGGCCTCTCAACACGGAGAGGAGCATTTCAAGAGCTCTTCCAGTGCTGTCAAAAGCCACAAGAGCAAAAGCTCCTTCTCCCTTTCCTGCCAGCTACACCCTGGGCAGAGCCTGGCACTATCCACACCACAAAGCGCTGTCATGAAATGCATGTATGGCTGCCACAGCACCCTCAGGCCCTCTCCCTTTCTGGTGCGAGAGTGGGGGGACCCCGTGGCAGCTCAGGGAGGCTGCAGGAGCCAGGAAGCCTGCAGTGCACGAGTGCAGTCCCAGCCCTGCGGGCAGGGTAAGGCCAAGGAGCATGGGTGCCCCCAGGGGACCCCAAGGGTGGTGCTGGGTAGTTGTCCCCAAGCAGCACCTCATCTCCCCAGCCTTCAACTCAGCATCCTCAAAGCAGCAGGTGGAACAGGGACGGGTACTTCCAGGCCCAGGAACACCCTGTCAGCCTCCAGCACCAGCGCCCCGAGCGGTGGGGAGGGAAGGTTTCTCCTCTGGCAGAAGATGCTGCAGGGAGGGGCTGGAGGCACTGGTGCAGAGCCAGGAACAGGCACCAGTGCCCACCACCACCTCACTGGGCACCACCATCTCAGTCCCTGCCTCCTGCAGCGCCAGGTGCCCAGGCTACACTTTTCCAGGTAAAACCCATCCTCCAAAGGCTTCCTCCAGGTACCGGGCTACTGCCAGCGTCAAGTGGTCGTTGTAGGGGGCTGCCACCAGCTGGATGCCCAGTGGCAGCCCCTCGCTGCTCAGGCCCAGTGGGCACTGTGTCACTGGCAAGCCCAGCACATTGAAGATGGCTGGAAGAGAGAAGATCACATCAGAGCAAGCACAACCGGGATCAATCTCTCCCTGGCTTCTCCCACCCGAGCTGCTGTCACCCATCACTGGGCTCCTGGGAGCTGGGCCTTGCCAGAGCACCGCAAAACCAAAGGAACATCGCTGGTGTTAATGCAGCATGTTAGCAAACTGCACCTATAGGTGATGACACACTTATGTGTTACTCACTGTGGCAAGCCAAGGTCTGCTTTGGGACAGTCCTGCCCCAGACACTGTCCTTCCATCACTCCAAAGCCAGATGGCATTGCAACACGATTGCATCAAGCTCAGTGGCAGGAAAGCCACACAGAGCCCCAAGCTGCGCTCCAAGAGGTGCAGCAGCTCTCATGTGGCTGCTAAACTCAGCAGCTCTAACAATGTGAGTCCATCCTTCTGGGCAGGGTGTCCCCTCATCCCGAGATGAGACATATCAACCCGACCTGTCCCACTGCAACAGCAGGTACAAATGCCACAGAACTGTAAAGCATGAGCATAATCCTCGCCCCATGTTCTGGTGCAGCGAAACACCTCTCTGTGCTGCAGCACCCACTGGCAGGGATGGAAACGCTCTGGGTAAAACAGCAGAGCATGCTCTGCTGCAGCAGGGAGGATGTGTGCTGCAGTCCTGCCTGATCCCAGCAGAGGCGTCAGAGCTGCTCACCCGTGTAGGCGAAGTTGAAGGGCATGCATATGGGGGAGTTGTGCCTGGGAGCTATGGTGGGGTGTGGGGGGTAGAGAAGCACCCCGTCTGCCCCCAGCAGGGCCTCCAGCTCCTCCTGCAGGCTCTTCCCCATGCTCACCAGCTTGGCATTCCCACCAGGGTTGAGTTTCATCACCTTCTCCGTCAGCCCCAGGGCTGTAGGGCAAGGCCATAGGCAAGAAGAGAGACAGAGCACCGTGGGTAAGCAGGCTATGAAGCACACTGTGTGGCCACTCGCAGCATCCCCCAGCCCTCAGTAGAGTCCCCCTCCCCTAGTTCCCCCTTGCCAGCTCCAGAGCAGATTGCCCCTGCTCTGCAGGCAGCATCTCTCCAGCTTTGCCTCAGTGCTCGTAAGGCAGCAGCACAACCCCCATCAGGGTTCTCTGGTACATGCTGCTATGAAATGCGCCCAGTGCAGATCCCTGGCTGGCTCCCTCTAGGCTGCAGCGGCTCTGGCAGGGCTCACAGCAGGAGCCAGCCCTGCCTGCAGCTCCGTTGTCCTCGCTGCTTCTCTCAGGATATTCAATCCCATTTGCTATCACAAACATCAGCCTGAAGCTGCTCCATGTGAACCCCAGAGTCGCCTACCGGGGCACTGCAAGGGCTCTTGCTTCCATTTGACAACTTGCCTGCCCCAGCACTGTCCCCGGTCTCCCCAGGGCTCCTCACCAATAGCTGGCAGAGTGTGGGAAGACATCCCCACGAGCCACTTCACCAGCTCCCACAGTGGCCAGACCGGCTTCCCGTGGTCCCCCAGCAGGTCCGTGAAGAGCTGCGCCTCCTGCAACACAACACCACACCCCGCCGTGAGCAGCCCAAGCAGTGTGCTGCAGCAAGAACAGGCTGACAGGAGATAGCAAAACCTCCTGTCGCATTATCCTGATGTGAGCTGCTCCCATTGTACACTGGAGCTGCCTGTCGAGAGCGTTACATAGCTCCAGCACTCATACAGAGCAGAAGCAGCAGGAGCATCTCTCCACGCCAGAGACAGCAGGAAGGGGACCTCACTCCGTAGAGGGAAGAGCCCCCAAAGCAGCCCCTTTCAGTGCTCCTCCACTGTCATGATGCAAGGGGTGATGCTCCAGGTAATCATGTCTCCTGGAGGCATTCACTGCTGTTATACATGGCTGTGGGGCCAGAAAAGAGGAGGCAGAGAGGGGGTAAGGAGCACCCTCCTCACCAAGGTGGGCTTGGCTGACACTTCATCTCTGCCTGTGTGGCAGGAACAAACAAGGTACAACAGCCCTCAGAGTTTACGCTACAAAACCCTTCTGCATGTACAGAGCGTGGGGCGGCAGCTGCAATTCACCCCCAGGCCTGCTGCTGAAAAGCTGCTTATTCACTGCCCTGGTCCCTGCCTCCTGACAGGCATTAACTCCAGCAGAAACGTCAGGAGACACAGCCTGGAAGCAAGAGCCAGGCAGGACGGTACCTGCTCAGGGACAGCACCTTGCATGGAAAAGGTCAATGTGCCCAATGGCCTCTCTCTCCATAAGTCACGCTGCTCTGCTGCGGGGAGCCACACTGCCATCTCATGGGAAAGCAAAGGGGAAGAGGTGGTGTGGCTTTGGAAGGAGATTGAAGGAGGATGGAGGGACAAACAGAGCAGAGAGAGCCACGGGGCTGGGAAGCCTCAAGCTCTCCACAGCCAGTCCCAACCAGCCAGCTCTTCCCTGGTGCCTTCAAGCTGTGCCTCTTGACACACCTGCCCATCACTGTCCTTGGATGACATCATGGCTGACCAGATCTGGAAAGAATACTTCATCTTGTGGATGGCCACGTGCTGGACCCGGACCCCCAGCTCACTCTCGAGGTGCTCCACCACCTAAGGGGAGAGGAGGAAGGGTTTGTTCCTCCAAGGATGTGATGTGCTGCAGTCACCCCATGGGTACTAGGGACAGCCAGGAGCCCAGGGGCAGCTTCTCCCTGCTGCCACACAGGGGATCCCGCAGCTCCCTTCCCAATCCCTCTGCCCTGAGAAGTGGTACCTGCTCTGTCTGGTAACAGTGTTGGGGCTCCCCAGGCACCCTTCCTGCCACCCCAGCAATGCTCCAGCAGGAGCAGCACCCAGACGGCAGCCCTGGGAAAGCCATGGACACACAGGCATTCCTTCAACAGGCGACGTGCCCCAGCAGGAGACAGCCTCCATTCCCTCCTACCTTCTTTTGGGCCTGCAAGATCTCCTTGTCCACAGGCGAAACGAAAACAGACCCACCATCATGATCCATGCAGAGGAACCTTATCTTTTCCAGCGACACCTTTTCGTTCAGCCTCAGCCTGAATGAGGGAAGGGCGGAGAATGGCACTTTGCTCACAAACGTTGCCCTGGCTCCCTCCTGCCTGCCAGGGCTGCTCATGCAGCAGTTAACATGTCCTTATGACACCTGATCTGGCCTCAGACCACCCGGCTCTACCCATTGGGGTGGGAAGGACAGTCCCTGAAGCACCCAGGCAGCTGCTACGTGTCACACAGGCATAGCTCACCCACTGCTTGCTACCCCATCAACCCCAGCTAGTCCTGCATATTTGCTGCTGTTTGGAGAATCCTCCTCTCCGAGAATGCACCTTCGGACTACAGATGCTGGCCACGGCCAAGGCTGGGACTGCACCACAAGGAACATGAGAAACAAAAGTGGTAATAGAGAAAGCAGCCCTGTACAGGCTGCAGCAAGATGCAGGACTTGCCTGCTCTACCCCATCTCCACTCTGCTCCCTCCTGGTGCCTGCACGTAAACAGCTGCTTGGCTGCATGGACTATAAGGAGAACAGGGCCATGGTGTGGGATGGAAAACGCATCATTCAACAACAGGAAAAGCACACGTAAGAGCCCAAAGAAAGGCCAATCCCAGGAGGGAAGGGCCAGGCTGGGCAGTGCTGGCCAGGGCAGCTCACAGGCAAGATCTTCCTGCAAGGAGGACCCACTGGCCAGGGCTGCCTGTCCCAGAGCACGCGGTGTTGGAAAGGGCAGCCCCAGGTCCTGCTGGAGCCAGGGGGGATGTAACCAGTGAGCAACCTAGGTGTCACAGACCTGTCCTTACCCCTGTGCTGGCCAGAATGCAGCTGAGACCAATTGAGCAGCTTGAAGCAGAAGGAGTAACTTACTTGTTGATGCTAGGGCCAGCCATGACCCTCAGCATGAGTTCCAGGTCCTCCGCATAGCGGCACATGGGCCCCGTGCACAGGAAGCTGGTCCGAACCCCCTGAGCATTGGGGAACTGGCCATCGTTGGGCACCACCCCTGCAGCAGGGAGGGACATGCTAGGAAGCTGCCAGTGAGGAGCACGGGGCAGCGGAAGGCGGAAAAGCACTCGGCAGCAGATCCTGGCCTTGGGAAAACATCCCACGCTGAGGATGGAATATCAGAGGTGAAACACCTCCCATGTGCCTGGTGTCCTGCCACCAGACAGCTTCCCACTGCCCAAGGCAGGCTGCTCCATGCAAGGACCTGCCTGTTCCCAACAGCAACCCCACCATGGCAAGCACAGGTGTGTTCAGAACAGGTTCTTCCGCACCCTGCATTCCGCCTCCTGGCATTTCTGCTGTGGAGGAAAGCAGAGGAGATCCCTGTGCCTGCTCTACCTGTTGTGGGCTTGTGGCCAAAGATTCCATTGAAGAAAGCGGGCATTCGGATGCTACCACCGATGTCGGAGCCCACACCTGTGACAGAGCAGGCGGCTGCCAGGACACAGCCCTCCCCGCCTACATCAGAGAAAGCACAGCAGAAAACATGGGCTTATAGAGCAAAGCAGGAGCATCTCATGGCGCCTGCTTCCCTTTGCCCACAGATAGGGCGGGAGCTGCCTCGGCTTTAGCCATGTCTGGAGGACAGCTGGGGAACATGTGCCAAAGGGGTTTTCCTGCCAGAGTGCAGCACCAGCATTGCTGTTTGCATGTAGAGTAAGGCAGAGAGAGCCCAAGCAATGCTGGGAGTAACGGCTACGAGGTGCAAAGCAGCCAGTCCTCCAAATAGCCCATTGCACTGCCCAGGAAAGAGGCCCACAAACTGTGCAGGAACCTGGCAGCAAGCCAGAGTGACCTACAGAGCACTCAGGAGCTCTTCTGCTGCATTTTACTGCGCCAAGGGGCCATGCTGAGGTGCTGGGACTCACCGGAGCTGCCACCCACGATGCGCTGCAGGTCATAGGGGTTGTTGGTCCGGCCGTAGACCCTGTTGCTGGACTCGTACCACATGCAGAGCTCGCTGCAGTTGGTAACGCCCAGTGGGATGGCACCAGCCTGCTTCAGCCGCGACACCACCGTGGCATCCGAGGTGGCAACCACGTTCCGGCGGTTGACCAAGCCAGACGTGTTGGGCATCCCTGTAGTGCCAGGGTCAGCAGGCGGAGGGAGGCATCAGGGCCAGGAGGCTGCAGGAAGCAGGAACCCAGCGAGGGCACCCACAGCATTTGGGGGCTAAACGCGAGTGCAGGTAAAGGGGATGAGGACATGGAAAGGGACCAGGGAAAAGGATGCTGGTTCCCTCCAGGCACCCTGGGGAGTATGTGCCCTAGAAGCAGAGAGAAACCCACCGTGCAGAGAAAAGGCCTCCTTGACGGTGATGGGCACCCCAACAAGGGGAACTTCTCCTCCAGGCAGTCATCACTAGGGCCCTCCGAAAGCAGCTGATCGACCTGCCGGGCCTCCTGCAGGGCCTCCTCAAACCTGGAAAGGAACAGCCATGGGGATGTGCCAGCCTCGATGGACAGGCAAGCAGCAGGTGCCTTTGCAGGCAGCAGGCACCAGGGAACAGGAGAGGAACCAGAAGAGGATCCAGAAGCAAGAGAGGAGCCTTCCAGCTCTGCAGGAGCCGCTCGCTCCTGCACCCGGCCGAGCCGCTGCGGAAGCCCCCAGGCTGCCCGGTGCGGAGCAGCTCCCGGCCGGGGACAGCAGGGCCTGTGGGGAGGCTGCAGTGGCGATCCGCTCGTCCCTCTGCCCCCGCGCTTACCGGTCCTTAACGACGGCGTTGATGAGGGGGTTGACCTCCCTGATCCTCTCCACGTACGCCTCGACCACCTCGATGCACCTCACCTGCAACAGCGAACGGAGCGCGCACCGCGGTGAGAAGCGGGGAGGGGGGGGGGGCGCTCCGAGGGTCCGGCACCGCAGAACAGACACCGGCACCGCAGAACAGACACCGGCAGCCGCAGAACAGACACCGGCAGCCGCAGAACAGACACCGGCACCGCAGAACAGACACCGGCAGCCGAGAACAGACACCGGCAGCCGCAGAACAGACACCGGCAGCCGCAGAACAGACACCGGCAGCCGCAGAACAGACACCGGCACCGCAGAACAGACACCGGCACCGCGCACGGCCCCGCTCCCTCCCCACCTGGCGCGCGCGGAGCCGCGCCGCGAGCCGCCGCGCGGGCAGCAGCAGCAGCGGGTGGCGCGGTGGCGGGACGGCACGAGGCGGCGCGGGGCCCGGCTCCACAAGCGCGAGCAGGGCCAGGCAAGCCCGCGACAGCAGCCGCAGCAGCAGCGCCAGCAGCCGCTCCGTTCGCGATAGCGCCATGGCCGCCCGGGGACACGCCCCCCGCCGCCACGGAAGTGACGACATCGCGCCGCGCCGCACGCGTCCCTGTGGCGACCGCGCCCCCGGGCAGCCCCAGGGTGGTACCGGCCCGCGGGGACCTCGCCACCTGGTCACGCCGTCCCCTTCGCATGTCAGACACCGAGCTCCCCGCCCGAGCTTTCCTCGGCCGGTAACGCGAGTTTCAAACAAGCGCCGCCGCTTTCCCGTCGCTTGATCACGGCCCCTGGAGCTCCAGGGATGATCCCAACCCCCCGGGCTGGAGTTCGGGAGCCGTTGCTTCTGGGGAAACGTGTCACGGCTTCCAGAGCAGCGCCCGAGGTGCCCTGCGGCAGCCGTTGCCTTCCAGAGCTGGCAATGAAGTGCCCAGTGAAACCCGAGGAAAAGAGGGGATCAGCTGCTTGTGAAAGCCCTTTACTATGACCCCAAAGGCAGCTGTCAGCCTTCACAGGACCGTGCGCCGCCCGGGGTGCTGCGGTGGCCTCTGCCCCATACAGGCTCGGCTGGAAGTAGAAAGGAAGTCATCTTGATAACAGCGCTCATTTTACAGACTCGTATCCGAGAGGCCTGGTGCCGGCCGGGAGAGCAGAGCAGGGCAGGGGACGCTGCTCTCCCTGCCTGCCCTTCCTCCCGTACCCTAGGAAAACAGAGGAGGCTGCTGCGAGGGTCAGTGACCAAGCTCCTCTGCTCCTCAGGCAGGCCCTGCCAGCTGTGAGAGGTGGGGGAGCCCTGTATCAAACAAGGACAAGGGAAACAAGTGCAAAGGTGGGTTCAAAGCTGCTTTTTCCATTTCCCTGGTACTGCTGGAATACCTGTGGCCTTATCCGGATCCTTATGTGGCCTTTGCCTTCGCCCCCATCCCCCAGTGCCCTAAGATTATGACACAGGGACAGGTTGGAAAGGTTTGTGTGTGCCCTCACCCTCCCCGGCACCTGCACATCTGAGGCTTGACAGAGCCCCAGATCACCTGCTCAGAAGAAACTGTAAGCCAGGGCTTGCTAAAACCCAGCTTGTGAAATGTGGCAGCGTCAGCAGTTGCCAGACCTGGCAGTAGGGATGACGAGGCTTCCTCAGGGCTTAGGAGTGCCCTGGGTGTCAGCTGTCTCACAGGTTTCTTCCAGAGCCAGAAGGGTGAAACGTGTCCTCTGGGAGAAGGCAGGGAGGGAACATCCCTCCTAAATGTAATCCCAATGCCACTTCTGCCATTTCTCTCGGTGGGTTTGCCGTTTCACCCCCTCAAGTCCCGGCGCTTGGCTTCCTCTGCTGCTCAGGAGGTTCAGCAGAGATCTTCCCCCAGCAGCCCCACTTTGGCCTCTTGTTTACTGTGCAAAGTGTCTCCCTTAATCTTTGTCTTCAGCTTGCAAGAACAGAGCTTTGAAACTCAGGCCAGATCAGCTGCCATGTACTTGGCAGGAGCTCCCTGTGTCCCCGCACATCCTGCTGTAACCGGTGCTGCCTAGGCTCTTGCTGTTTCTCATTAGGTTCTGGTGAGCTTCCTGGGATCTGAGCCAGAGCACAGTCACCAGAATCCATGGTAGCCCAGTGGAGCTTCATTTCCATGCAAAATGGAAAAAAAATGGGATAGAAGGTGCTCTGGAAATGAAGCAGTAAGATCTGGAAGCCAGAGGTCAAAAAGGCTAAGACTGCTTTTCAATTACCAGAGCCAACCAAACAAGCAAACACCACAAACACACTGAGCAACCAGCTTGTTCCAGTCTGATTAAAAATTGAGCAGCCAAGAGCAAGGAGGTTGGGAATATGCAACACAACTCCCACATCCAAACCGTCCCACCACCTCATCCTGACATGCACCACCTGGCTAGAAGGAAAACATGATTCAGGGCCTTGCATTCTGGGAGTTGTGCCTGTTATTATCCGCAGTTGTTGCACTGTTACCGAAGGCTTAAAACCTCATGAAAGACTGGCAGGAAAAGCACCAGGAGCTACTCCATCAGTAACCGCTGCTGGGCCGGGAGCCACGACACAGGCTCAGGGGCCGGGAGGGAAGCAGAGAGTGATGCTGATCAACAGTACTGTGTTCTGGTGGTCCTCACTGAGCCATCAAAGCTGTACTGTCTCTTTTCCCCAGAGCAGAAAAAAACTTCTGTGAAAGTAAGGAAAATTAAGCACAAATCTTCCCTTTGCAAAACGAGTCACTTAGAATTTATCCTTAAGCTTCAGGAAAACCGAGTTTTGTGTAGAACAGCACCGGGTGGGGGAAAAGAGAAGGGACGTTTAAAAGGTTCTGATGTAAACAGAACAACTCAGGTGCTTAAATTCCCAGCTGATCGCAGAAAACGCCAGCGTTTCCAGGCGGTTCATTGGAGCCTGCTTTTAACCAGCTCCACCGCTGAGGGATGCTGTGCTCCCGTCAGCTGTTTTATGCTGAGCTTGGCCGGGTTACGCCGCTGTTGGGTACCTCCCTGTTTACCCCAGAGCTGGGGAGAAGGTCTCGGCCATTGCCTTACCCTGCTCTGCAGCAGCACCCGCAGGCCCTGGATTGCACACGGGAAGGTCCCAGGCGCACAGGGAAAGGCATCCGGAGCCCCCCGGACTACACAGGATGTCACTCGGCTGCTCCTTGGGCACAGAGAGGGGCACTTAGAGGCCCCTGGGGTACCCGCCGGTTTCTGCAGCCCTCAGGGGAAGCCAAAGCGTGCCCAAGGGTCAAGATAGCGCCAGTGTTTGTGAGGCTCCGGAGCGGAGCTGGGTGTTTTGGGGCTGAGCTCCAGGGCCTGGCCGTGCTGTGCCGTGCCATGGGAGATCGCTCTGCCACCGCCGCTCGGCGTTCCCGGCCCCCGCCCCGCAGCGCCGCAGCTGTTCCCGCTGCACGAAGCCAGAGTAGGCAGTGTTCACCCCGCCATTGAACACAGGGCTTGTGCGTGCCGCTGCTCAGCCGGCCTGCCTGGCCCGCACCAAGCCTGTGCACGCAGCCCCGGCTGCCGGGGCTTGTGCCATGCTTGCTTTAGGAGCCCGATGGCCTTCCCTGGATGTTCCCACTCCAGGAACCCTCGGGCTCCATCCCCCTTGCTCCCCACGAGGAGCTTTGGCTGCTGCCCTACAGCCCCTTGGTGCCGAGGGGAGCTGCTGGCCCCTTTGAGGGGCTGGGGGGGCCCACGCTTTGCTTCTTTATCCTGGGGAGGTGACACCCACCCCATGACCCCGCTACACCCCTTTCCCACTTGAGCAGGGCTTTGGGGTGCACCTCGAGATTTTCGGAGCAGCTAAGAATCTCCTGGGCTCCAGGGCGCCTCCAGCAGTGTAGAACACCATTCCTAACACTGTGCCCCCTCAACACCCTCCTGCTGAGCACCTGCTGATCCTGACCATGTACACCACCATGGGTAGGGTGGGCCGTCTCCAGCACAAGCCAGGGCAGTGGCAGGGATAATGCTGGTTTCCAGGCTGGCCTGATGGCAGCTCTGTGTCCCTGGGATGTGCCTACTTCCTTCCCTGCCCGAGGGGACTGTTTGTGCTAGTTCTGCACATCATCAGTTATCTGGGGACAGGCTGGCTCTGCTGCCCTGTGTCATCTCTCGAGCAGCCCATGCAGTCACCAGTCTATGCCTGCGCAGCAGCCTCACCCAGATGTGCCATTGTCACATTCCTGCCGTAGCTCCTGCTGATGCCTCCATCGGGGGGGGGGGGGGGGGGGGGGGGGGGGAGGAGGCGCTGCGGGGCTGTTTCCCAAGCTCCGGTTGCTCCAGGAGCGGCTGGCCCGGCCCGGCCCTTGCGAAACGTGTTGACAAACAGCCCGGGGCATGCCCAGCGCCGCAGCCGCCAAGTGCCGGGCGCAGGGAGCGCCCGCGCCCTCGGGGATTTTCCATTGCTCTGACAGCGGATCACCCTGCCGGGGCACTGCCCCAGAGCCGCCTCTGGCGCTTGTCCCACCGGGCCCTGCTGGCCCTATGGACCTGCCGTGCAAGGGCAGCCTTGCACAAGTCAAGGCAAGGGGTGGTTGGGTTACCTCGGGCATCCTACAGGGCTGGTTGGGGTGCCACTACCTCCAAGGTGACCCAGCCACCCACATCTCTCAACATGGGGCCATTCCTGTGTCCTCGTGTTGAGCTACTACGTAAGCTCTCTCCCTCTCGTCCTCCCTCCCTCCCGCTCCCTCTTCCTTCCTCTCTTCCCTCTTCCATTCTCTTCCTTTGTTTGTTTTCTCTTTCCTCTCGTTCATCTTCTCTTTTGCTGCCTCCTGGACATGCCCTGCTGCCACCCTGGTGCCCCTGTGCCCATCCGTTGGGCAGTTGGCTGGCAGCAGCAGGACTGCAGACACTGTGACCCCCCAGCCTGTGGGGAGGCGCGCACAAAGCCCATGTGCATGAAAGGGACCCATGGCCAGGGCAGACACCGTCACCCTACCACCAGGTGTCCATCAGGGTGGATAAGGTGTGCAGGGAGCAGATATGCTGTGCTCATGTGTCATCTATATATAACTGTACTCGCCAGGCACTGGGCCTGTGCTGACCTAAGACACAGTCAGATCATGGTTTTAATGCAGAGTAATTGCTGTTAATACCAAGCTGGTTTTATGTGGGAAGGAGTCAAGCTTCGGGCACACTGCTACCGTGTTGTGCCCACAGGCACCCTGTGGCCCATGTGCAGGGACATGGCGAATCCCTGCAGCAGAGACAGCACAGGGCAGACCTGGCCTCCATTGGAAGTGTCTGGTGTGGCAGGAGGAGCCCTTGGCTTGGGACCATCAGCTCCCCTGCAGTCAGAGCCACCCTGGGGCTGCTCCCCGCTGCCGTACCTAGAGCAGTGGCAGTATCTTTGCTGTGGCCTCAGATAGGAGGTTGTGGAGGAGGAAGGAAGATTTCCATTGCTTCTGTGCACAGAAGACTGGTGGTGCCCCAAACACAGATTTTCCCACCAGGTAGAAACAATTCCCAGTTCACAGGTTTCCCCCAGGGCTCCCGTGTGCTCAAGTGCCATCACCTAGAACTGCCTTGGCAGGCACTCGCTGTTGCCTGCTCTGT